AATTTCATTTTGTTGCCTCATAACCCTCCTAATTACTGGCTACACGTATTTTTGTTATTTGGTATATATTCGACATCGATTTCTATGTATTAAAATCGTGGATATTGAATGTGACAGTAATATTTATATTATGTATCTATATATTTAAACACAATTAGCTATTGATTTCAGGTAGTACCTTTTTCCTTGTTCGTTTGATCTCTCTTTTTCTTTCTTTCTTTAGTCCTGTATTTCCTTTCATGAATTCACTTTCAGAAATTATTTTATTGATTTAGAAACATATTTTGATTCCTACTTTATTTTCTTAAAACTTATTATTATTACCCTACGTGAGAGAAATCACTAAACCCTCAGATATGATTTATAATACTTCAAAAATGCATGCCACTAATTGGAAAATACTGTATGTTTTGTTCTTGTTAAAAAAAAAAACAAGGCGTTATATAATATTTCGTAAATTCCATAAATTCAAAATATTTGTGTTTTATAAATTTCAATAGCTGCAAAGAAACAAAAACAAAAAACAGAATTAAATGTGTTTAATGAAATCCTTTTCATGTAATATGCAAGTTTATTTTCATTTCGATCAATAATACAAGTATTACCTAGTAAATTTACATTCAGTGTAATTTCCCTAATGAAATCCAATCAGAATCAGTACAAAGTTCGGATTTCTATAAAACACACAAAACCTTGTTACTGTGTGGTATGATACACAGATAGAAATACATGTAAATGCATTTTTAAAGCTCAATTAACACTAAAATGTAATTAAAATGTTTGTACTGAAATATATGGAAGTAACAAACCGTATTCAAGCTCGAAATTCCATAAAAATACAAAGAACTGCGAACGATTAGTATTGTTCTCCCGCCTACCTCCAAGTCAATTTTCAAAAGTTAACAAATTAAATGAATTTAAAATATTTTTATTATAAATAATTATATATCACTTATTTGGGAAAACAAAGAGAGAAAACTCTAAAATTTTGGTAAAATGTGTGTTTTTCACTATAGAAATCAACGAAAAACGGAAAATATAAAACATCTTTTCCCCCGTGACACAAAAAATCCTTTTTACAGTTAATATGGCCAGTTATTTCACAAATTCATACCAAAGCTTTTTGTGTGTCACGGGGGGGGGGGGGGGGGGGGGGGGGGGGGCACATGTTTATTGACAAAAAACGACAAAAATGTTTATTTTCCACCAATTTCAAAGCGATTTACAACTGAAATATTATATTTTATTAATCTATTTATGTTTTATTCATTTGTCTAAAACATAAGAAAAGATATAAGAAACATTTAATCATATCCAAGACTATTTCAAAATAGGGTGATGCTTGAAAGTCCGATTTCAACGGATAATATCGTCTACCCCCCCTTTTTTTCAAGAGCTGGAGTTAGTGATAATTTACTATTTGGCGCTGGTATCAAGACAATTAATCAATTTCTATTGAACTATTCTTTGTATTAAACAAAGAATTTATGGCCAAATTGCCATTTATATTGAATAAAATGGTTGCAAAATGTAGGCGGGAATGGAGAGTTAGCGTGCGTATTTCTTGTAGAGCAGAGCTGACGTCTAAAACATCAAAGGTGGGATCAGGTGCTATGGCATTCCCTGCAGACCAGTCACATCTGCGACACACTCCTTGTTATGGACAGAAAATAATCGGGAAATCCGTCGACAATTCGGTGTGTAAATAATGGTCTAACAATTAGTATGAAAAACGTCAGTCACATTTTTACCTGATGATAATGATTGTAATCGACCATAGAACTAACGAAAGACTCAATTTAATTTTAAAAAAAAAAGCACATACCAGCTTCAATTAACGTAAAATCTCAGCAACTGTGTTTTTAAAATCAATTTTTCTTCGTAATGTTCATTTACGTTCTTATACTTTCCATGTCACAAATGAGTCTTACATCTATTAAGCACACCATTTATGATAGATACTAAATTCGTGATACAGATCATGACGTCACAAATATGAAGAGAGATTAATTAAGAATCAGAATTTAAACATAGTTGTTGCTTTCTCAATTTAAATAATTGCAACTCTGAAATCTATTCGAATTGACATATACGTATTATACTTTGTTATAACAATGTTTATAGTTAATTAATATTAAGTTTCAAAATATGTGTATAGAAAAACAAATCTGTGCTGACAACCATGTTTAAAGATTTGCCCTGTACCAGTATGATAATTTGTACAACTAAAAAAAAAGAACTCTTGTATCTTTGACAACCAACGCTGTCTGAATTGAAAAAAAAGATTTATCGACCGATTAGAATTGTTGAGAATTAAATGGCTTAACTACAAAGGATTTAGATATTATCTTAATACGAAATTAGCTTCCCATGCAATCATTTCAATCTTCAAAAAAGGATACGCCCTCGTGCTTCTTTTTTACCAGATTTCCCCCTTCCAACAAACCTTTACCCCACTAATCATAATTTAAAAATTTGAAATCTACACTAAAAATGCTTCCACATGAAAAATTCAGGAGAGATTTTTTTTCAGATATATTTCTATATAAAACACTTTATTTTCTACCCCCGGGGGTCATGATAAAATCAATTTCAACTAGAAAGCTTAAATAAGTTTCAGCTTGTTTCAGTGGTTCTTGAAAGAAGATTTTCAAAGATTTTTATATATATTTGATAAAACTATGATTATATTTTACTGCACCCCCGGGGGTCAAAATTTGAACAATTTAGAATTATTTTAAATGCTTACATAAGTTTCAGCTTTTCTGGCTCATGTTCACAAAAGATTTTCAGATTTTTTTCTATATATTCTAATAATCTTTGTGTGGCCCCGCCCTACTCCCGGGGGTCTTGATTTGAACAATTTAGAATACCTACCCCAGGATGCTTCCACATAAGTTTTTCTTCTGGCCCAGTTTTTATTGAGTAGAAGATTTCAAAGATTTTTCCTTTATATTTCTATGTGAAACTTTCATTTCCCATTGTGGCCATGCCCAAGATGAATTAAATGAAAATTGTTGTATAAAATACACTACCCCAGGATGCTTCCACATAAGTTTCAGCTTTTCTGGCCCATTTGTTATTAATCAGAAGTTTTTCAAAGATTTTTCCTTTATATTGCTACGTAAAACTTTGATTTCCCATTGTGGCCCCGCCCAACCCTGGGGGGTCATGATTTGAACAATTTAGAATCTACACTACGCGGCAAATGCTTCCACATAAGACAGCTTTTGTGGCCCAGTGGTTCTATAGAAGAAGAATCAAAGATTTTTCCTTTATATTTCTATGTAAAACTTTGATTCCCCATCTCCCTACCCCCAGGGTATCATATTTAGCAATTTTCCACTAAATAATAATGCTTCCACATAAGTTTCAGCTTTTCTGACCCAGTGGTTCTTGAGAAGAAGATTTTGAAGATTTTTTTATATATTTCTATGTGAAACTTTGATTCCCCATTGTGGCCCCGCCCTACTCCCGGGGGTCTTGATTTGAACAATTTAGAATCTACACTACCCCAATGCTTCCACGTAAGTTTCAGCTTTTCTGGCCCAGTGGTTTTGAGAAGAAGATTTCAAAGATTTTTAATATATATATATATATAAAACTTTGATTTCCAATTTTATAATTCCCCGGGGGGTCATAATTATAAACAAGCTTAAAATACACTACAACAAAATAATTGTCTTATATCAATTTAAATTTTCTGGCCCAGTGGTTCTTGAGAAGAAGATTTTCAAAGATTTTTCCTATATATTGCTATGTAAAACTTTGATTTCCCATTGTGGCCCCGCCCAACTCCCGGGGGTCATGATTTGAACAATTTAGAATCTACACTATGCTAAGATGCTCCCACATAAGTTTCAGCTTTTCTGGCCCAGTACTTTTCTTAAGAAGATTTTCAAAGATTTTTCCTTTATATTTCTATGTAAAACTTTGATTCCCCATTGTGGCGGATGTGTACCCCCGCGGGTCATGATTTGTACAATTTGAAACCTACACTACCCCAGGATGCTTCCACATAAGTTGTGTTTATGGCCCAGTGGTTCATTATTAGAAGATTTTTTTAATGACCCAACCATATATGAAATTGTCTATCTTCAAATTTCATGTAATATATGTCCCTTCAATTGATGTTTTGCATTTATCCAAGGAGTACTTTGTATCAAGTTTGGTCAAGGCTTTGCCCAGTGGTTTTGAGAAGAAGTCAAAAATGTGAAAAGTTTAAACGGACAGACAGACGGGCAAATGATTGTTTAATTACTATAAAAATGTGACAAAAAGCTGTCTTTGAGCCTTCGGCTCATTTCAGAAACATAGAGAGCCCTCGTGCTAAAATTTTTAATTCTTAGCAAACAAACCTTTTTTTTTGTTTCAGATGAAAAAGTTTTCTAATAAAAAGTGTTACCATGAAAAATATCGGAGAGACATGTTTCTAAGGCGATGGAGAGTAATAACTCTACCTTATTTTCTATTAGCGATAAAATCAATTTCAAAAGAAAGTAATAATATTAGTATTCTAGCTTGTTTACAATGGTTCGGAAATGAAACTTTCCCATACATGTATATAGGAATGATAAACCTATGATTATAGTTTACTGCAGAAAGCTATCTGAATTCTTTAATTATTTTAAAATACAAAGTATGAAACGTTTGTGCTATGATCACAAAACAGTGCAGATAACCTCTTTTTCATGTCATGCTAATAATCATGTGTAGGTTTGACAAAATCCTATATCTCTAAAACTGTTTTTCTTCTATTTTTATATGGTGTAAATGTCAACATTTTACAAGTCTCTTTCTAAGACTTTAGAGAGCATTGAATCATGTCAAGATGTATTAAATGAAAATTATTATATAAAATGACAATTTCAAGCTTCAGGTTAAGGTTCATAAACCCTCTGCTCACTCATATAAAATGTTGCTTGAACTTGAATGATTTTCCAAAAGGGATGTTTTAAATAATATACAAACAACTTTAGCATAGCTTGCGCGGCAAAATTGGAAAAAAAGACACTTCAATTTGGCAAATCTATAAAGGAATAATAGATATTTATGTCATTAAGAGTTATCTCTCTTATCAGAGTATCAATGAACCTTAAGACGTTTTCCACCAAATAATAATTGCAAGAGTCCTTCTTTCTGGCTGGAGATCGTTTTAACTGTACATTTTGAATATTTCTTTATTTAGGCTACTCTGTAAGATTCTCTCAGATGCAGGAACCTAAAATATTCAGAACGTAAGTAAATCACGTGAAATCCTGTATGATTTTTAAGCAATGAAGATGTAATTTTATAATATATATATATAAATGTATCAATTTTATAATCAAATATAATTGAATAATTATAAATAAGCTTAAAATCTAACAACAACAAAATAATTGTCTTATATCAATTTGAATATCCTGTATGTATGTCAGAGAAATAAGTTCATATAATTGTTATTAATAGTAATCGACGGTTCTATGAATACATGTACTTTCAATACTTTAAAAACAATGAAATAAGATTGAAGACTTCGAAACAATAATTGTTTAGGCCCGTACTTTTCTTATTCAATTGTCCCTGAGTTTCTCATTTATCCTATTCAGACAAAAAGAAATCTTGGACGGATGTGATTAGTCAACGCGGGTTGCTTACTCCACTTTGAAACCTGACCAGACCTCTGATTTAAGACGGTTGTGTTTATTTCGTTCATTATTATTTGTATTTTTTTCAATGGGACTTTGGCCATAATATGAAATTGATATCTTCAAATTTCATGTAATATATGTACCTTAATTGATGTTTTGCATTTATGGAGTTCTTTGAGATATTAAACTTGGTCAAGGCTTTGAAGATGTCGTTTAATCGATCAAGTCAAAAATGTGGTTAAAATAAAGAATTAGACATTTGAAACTAGAGCCGAGCTCGTTGCAAAGCAACGAGTAGGTCTTCCGTCCTGTTTGACCGGAAGTAACTTTTATTTAAAAAAAAAAGAGAAATGAAGTCCAAAAATGGGTGAATCCTCCAAATCTATGTTAAGTATAGCAAAATTAAGCCATTTTTTTGGTACTTCCGGTTTAACCGGAAGTGACGACGACGGACGGAAAATTAATATTTAAGCTTCTAGTGAGACATGTTACCCAAAAACCTGTCAAAAACGGCAAAAATATGCATTTTCATGATCACTAAAACTTTTCGACCGGAAGTGACGAGACGTATTTTGACGAGCCCATTAGATAAAGCTTGATATTTTGCACAACTTTGCTTCTTTGATGCATAACAAATTCTCAATACTTTTTGAGATTTCTGGAAAAAACTTTTGGCCCCTCTAGGTCTCTTAATTTAGGAGTCAGCCCTTTTTTCGACATATCATTTGAAAGATCTAATTCTGCACAAATTATGTTCTATATATTTTAACAAAATATTTTTAGTTTAGAAGATAAAAAGAAAAATATGAGTAATTTTTGGTTCTTTTAAGCGTTCTAAACCCTATTTAGCGCCATTTTGAATACAGAAATCGAAAAACAAAAACCGATGTGCACAACTTCAATCCTTCTATTATCTAAAATCAGTAGAATTTCTGCTCCAGCTTTAGCCGTCTCTGAGCATTTGTCTGGAAACGAAAGCCTATAATTTTTCCTTTAAAGGGAAATAACTCAAAACCGGAAGTGGCTTTTTGAAATTTTAGACAACATTCTGATAGAGTTTATTAACGTCTACAACGTCTGAAAATTTGAGCGAAATCCGTTATATGAGGCCTCAAAATTGTGTTATTAGGAAGCAGAAGAAAAAAAAGAATAATAATCTTTACCAACAGAATCAGTAGAAGGTCTTCCGTTGGAAACGGAAGACCTTAATGATTGTTTAATTACTATAAAAAAGGGACAAAAACTGTCTTCGTAATTGGCAACATTTCAGAAACATAGAGAGTTGCACTAAAATTAATAATTCTTGCAAAATAAGCCTATGTGTTGTAATCCTAAAAATTTTAAACACTATCCCAAAGGGTATAGACTTCTGTAGAGAAAAAAGTTTTACACAGTTAAATTGCATATTGTCAGTATTGATTACGAGAAAACTAATTGATATTAATAACTATATATTAAGCAATATATGGAGATAACGAAAAATATTCAAGCTCAAAGTTCATTAAACAAAACAAGATAGAAACAGAGCAAACAATGACCTCCAAAACATTACAACGGGGATCATGTGCCATGGAGGAGTGAGCATGCCTGCCGACCGGTCACATCCGCCCTGTCCTCCTTGTAAGGTAAAACATTGTTATTTAAATTTTTAGTGAAAATACTTTATGTTGTTAAAATAATACTTACAAGGACAATCAACCATTTTAGTTAAGTATATTCCCAGTGGGTAAGCTTTATTTGCCGAGCTTCTTGTTTTGAATCCAACAAAACGAATCTAAAATGAAATGTCTGAAAGTTGTTATTTGTAAAACTTTTGCAAATGCTAGTATTTAATGTCAGTACGAACTGCGAGCTTTTCAAATGCCATTATCTCAATGGTTAATATACTACAAGATTATAACTAAGAGATGCTTATTTTCGTTTTCTTCTCTGTTGCACTTTAATCTGATGTCGTATTTACCAAAGAACTGTGTGAGGGTTCAATATCTATTTTCTTGAGTTCATAGTTAACAGTGGTGCCTTCAGGAACGGTCTGACTGAAGTACGTCGTCTGGGAAATTCCTGAGCCTGCTGTCACCTTAAATGTGGCCGGACCCGTGGAGTACCAGTAAAACATCAAACACTGGAACTTAGCTGTAAATAATTTAGAAAAAACGTTCAAATACATGAATTTCATCACAAAAAGATTTCACTGGCCTGCTTGCTAAAATTTTAGCTATAAAACACATGTAAAAAGTCAAATGACGTCTCTTATAAAGTTAGGTCTTTTTTAGATTCATAGTTTCAAAGATTGGTTTTGAAAAAAAACCCACTTTGTTATACATTTATATTTGATATATGTTCCATGCAATATAGACTTCCTTTAATATTTGTCATTTATTATCATCTTATTTTTTCCAGGTAAATTATTTAGGCTATGTTAAGTTCACTTAATTAATATTCAATGAACATAAAAGCCATAACTTCAGCTTCAATACCTGGATACAGGGTGAGTTATAATAATTAAGCCTGCTATTATTGAACAGATTTGGTCCAGGACTGGCTTTAATTTAGGGAGATACAATTGATTAAAGTAATTTTTGTCGACAGTTACACAACATGCAACTGAATTCTACAGACATGGGGTCATCAAAGTGTCTAGGAGATACATATTAATTTCACGAGATTAACAACATTTCGACTACCTATACAAAGTAATCTTTCAAATAATGTAAGTAAGACACACTAGCAGAAAATTTAAAAATGCATACATTGTGAGGCATTTTGAAACAAATATGACACAACGGTTTAGGTTTATAGATATTCGTGCATTATTGTTATTTAATTTTCCCTATCCTTATCAGATCAACAAACTTAAATGTTAGTACGATGATATTCCTATCATGATTACTAAAAATTTTACGTAAGTATAGCTGAGAGCAACCTGTCAATTTCGCACCTTGTTCACGAATATTCGCAAACAGAGTTACATTTAAATGTCTAATTTTTAAAATGTGATGTTATAGATATATACTTACACTGTTATTTGTAGCTCATTGACAATTTTGACAACTGATAATATAAGATACCACGTTGCACAACATTGCTTGGTGGTTAAAATGAAGCAACGTATTGTTTCCATAAGGTGAGAATTTTATAGAAAATATCTCATATAATTAAATAAAACGCATTGTCACGACTATATGGAACCAATAAAAGGTAAAAATACATATCAAAAGACTATGATATGCTGTCAAACAAAAATAAAATTTGAACGAAAATGAATTTGCACAGTGTATACATATTCTCTTTTGTATCTTGATTCATACTTTTTGTATAAAAACATTAGATAATTCTTGTAAAATATTCATTTCATGAGGAAAAAAATTAAGCATATGTGTCAAGCACCAAGAGTTATTATCTGGATAATTTTGCGTAAGTAATATATGATAAAATTGTGCTATTATCTGGACATTCTGTTGCTCTGTTGTTTAGAAATTTGAAGCATATGCTCACACCAAACTAGCCAAAAGGTACTCGGGGATATATATTTGTTCGCACTTTTCCATACATAAGATGATTCCGATATTTTATATAAAAAAAGGCATTTCAAATTAAATTCTTTATTAAGAAATAAGTGGGACTTAACATTTTATTTTGTAAATAATTATGGGCTATCTTTCACGCTTCTCATTTATATGCAATAAAAATTGGCTGTTTTTGTAAACTTAGTTTAGAATATGAAGAAATCGACACATTTCGTGACGTCATAATGCATTAAAAGGCTCGTAAAATACGTCATTTTTGATAGACATGTATACAATCACCAAAGGTCTAAATGACATATTTAAGGTAGGATTCTTCTCTGGTTTTTGACTAGATGACACATTCAAAGTTTATTTGCTTATATGACTTATATATTGAGGTGTAAAGGATTTAGAAGACCATATCTTTCTTTCATCGTTACAATTGTACAACTTTAAATAGAAATGGTAAACTGCGTTTGAAAACTAGCAGGGACTATATTTTTGGCGGAATGATGGCGTATGAAAATATCTTCTTTTCTGCCTCTCAAAATTATAACAGAACAATGGTTTTAGTTATAATTTTTACACAATAGAAGACTTGGAGAAATTTTCAAATGTAAGTTAAATTAATAATGAGGGACAAAACTTTCAAAATATATCAAATTAATATGAATTTTAAAACAAACTAGAACCTTGTTAGCTTTTAAACGCTTCCTATCAAAGCGCAGATTTGAGCCAAAAATCGATAAAAAGTATTTTTTCTCTCGTAGTAAACGATCAAAACTTTTTGCTTTTGTATCATTTTGAACATTTATAAGACTACTTTATTATATGTGAAAATAAGAAAAAGTGAAATATATGAAGCATCTGAAAATACCTAATATCTCCTAAAAAATTAAGAAAACAGAGAAAATTCGGATTAGCCAATATCCAGTTTAGTTAAATTATTTATGTAAATTTGGTATTATCACGCTATAGACCCGATATAGTAAAATGTTATTATGCAAAAAGAACAATCTTTAAACTTTTGAAATAGAAGTAGGTATCTCATGATTGGCAACAGTATTTTTTATTCTTAATGGCAAGGAAAAAGATAATGACCTTGACCTGACCTTGCCTCTGATATAAAACGGTCAAATTTAATCTCACTGATGCTATCAATTACTGATATTGTCTTCTTGATTCTGTAAGAATTTCATTAATTTTTAAATATTAGAAATATGAGAAGAATTCTACCTTAATGCATTGTTCACTAAATTTAAGCAGTTTCAGATTTTCAAAAATTCACAGGCAAAAAAGGCTAATAGTGAACTTTCAACTTTCATTTATGTTCCTTAGTTTTCCTGCCAAACGACTGAGCTTGGTTTTTTTTTGTTAAAAGCAGGCAAAAACAAATAACATCATGTAGAAGTGAAATATGTCATTTATTAAAGAAACTACAGAGGAAGTAAAACACAGTCAGAAAAGGGTGACTCAAAAATAAAGTATTACACATTTTATGCAAAATATTACACAATCTGACCACCTAGCACCATGATGACTTTGTAACATGATGTACATAGGTAATAAAGGGTGTTCAGTCAAACGAGATTGATTGATTGTATATTGTTTAACGTCCCTCTTGAGAATTTTTCACTCATATGGAGACGTCACCGTATTCCGGTGAAGGGCTTCAAATTTAGACCTATACTCGGCACTCAGGGCCATTGAGCAGTGAGGGTTCTTTATCGTGCCAGCGCCTACCGTGACACGGGACCTACGTTTTTAAGGTCATATCCAAAAGACCCGTGACTTTCACTTCTGATGCCGAGCGCTCGGCGAAGGAACAGTTACTACCTATGTTTACGTCTTAGGTTTGACGCGGCGCCGGGAACGAGAATCGAACCCGGACCTCCCGATCACGAAGCGAACGCTCTACCACTAGGCTACCGTGAACGGTCAGTCAGACGAGAATAAGGATTCAAACCATGTAATCTTTCAAAAGGTACAATATACATGTATTTCAAGTTGGCCCCCTTATAAACTTCAAAAGGTTCACAGACATATACAAAATGCTTTAAAATACTGCCTGACATCAAAACGTGGGTAAAACAAAATAACAAACAGCTATTAAATTAAAATTAACACATCTATATTTCCCTCGCTGCCTAGGAAAAACCATAGATAAAAAACAAAACTGATTTATGTTGAAAAAATTATATGGAAACCTGCAAATCCGCAGCAATATTGCAATGTAAACAAAATGAATGGCGGACTCATTCTCACAAACCTAATAAAATTGTCATTTATTACAATGCATAAAAATTTTATTTGTTCGGTTAGAGCGTGCGCTAGAGAATGAGTACTAAAAATCTCTTTAACCAGTTCGAACACAATCAAAGAAAGGTGTGTTGAACATAATTCATGGAGAGAATTTAATATTTGAAAATTCACGAGGAAATGCGATGTTTCGCTATGGCTTATTTCATGAAGCTCTTTAGCGCTTCATGATAAATATAAAGATGTGAATCGTTATAATTCATGTAGAGCATGACTTTTCAAAATTAATTTATTTCCTACATTTTTTTATTGTTTGATGACTTACGACAATTTTTGTTATTCAACAATCTTTTTTAAAGAAATATATACTCCCCGTCAATGAAAACGCAACACTCTAATTTTAGGGTGAAAAATTATATACGGGATATAACTATGTACCAAACAAGTTAGGACATCTTTTACTTTGCCAAATCAGTTATTTAATGGTTGAATGTTTTTCACTCCATTACCGAAAGTTGATTTTTAAGCCCTCTTAACAGATAACATTTAGATAAAACACCCCCCTTCCGACCATTTAATCAAAACACGCTAGTCCGCCATGTACAACATACAGTGTACACAGTCCGATTTCTACCTTGCATTAGGTTTATCAATGTCTTTATCTGAGCGAAATAAATATTCTTGAGCATTTTTAATTGTCTGTTGTTCAGATTCTGAGGTCGAATTTTCTCTAACTTGGCGCAGTGTAGTAACCCTTAAACTTCCGGTCAATGAACTGTCATTCATGCTTTTGAAACATATGAGCCCAAAATGTCGTTATGTAGCGTATATTTGCATCTGTACCTCTCCTTTTTCTTTATTTTGAGAATTTCCAGCATTAGCAATGAAATGCGTGCTTTTGGTAATTTTGAGGAAATACAGGAAATCACATCTGGAAAAGAAAGAAATATTTTTTCCCGGCATTTTAGTACAATACTTATGATAAACAGGTACAAAACCTTAAAAACCAAAATATTGTCAAAAATTTTATCAAAATTGCTAATATTTGATTTCTGTTAAGAGGGCTAAAAATCAACTTCCGGTAATGAAATGAAAATCATTCACCCGTAAAAAAAACTGATTTGGCAAAGTTAAAGATGTCCGAACTTTTTTTGGTACGTAGTTATATCCTGTACATAATTTTCACCTAAAATTAGGGTGTTGCGCTTTCATTGACGGGGAGTATATTTTGTAACACGGCATTATGGCGTAACGACAGAAATAGCCTTGCACATCAATGGTTCTTCATGAAAAATGAAATATTCTCTGATTTAAAAAGATTCTTGATGAAAACATTTGGATGTGTAAAAAATAATACAATGCTGTTAAAATACAAAATTCCTGGTTAATCTTTATAATGTACTGATTATTTCTGAAATCTTTTCAATACTTACGGGTGGTATTGCATCCACTTGATGTGGCAACGAACTCCTTGTCATTTCCGTGTAATACAAAATTGGACTGTAGGCAATAAAATAAAAGTGGAAATAGCTATAATTAATTCTGTAGAAATAAACACTTATCTCTGCTCAAGTAGTCGTTTCTATTATACAATATCTGTCATGCAGAGAATTATGATTTCTGATCATTTTAAGCTGAAAAGATAAAGAATAATACATTTTATTATGTTTTAAAAGCATTATTAACTAAATTTGAGATAACCTATCAGATATGATGGAGTCACATTTAACGAAATCTGCAAGAAATCATTTATGAAAGAAAAAATAGAAAAAAATGTGGAATCATCACAATCGCTGTATTCTGAATCTAAGACGGCCGAAGAGCGATAAGCCATTCGAATCCGGTTCAGTCAGAGCCATCTAACCTCAAGATGAAGACAATCTGTAGATCATTAGCTAATTATGATTCGGATGCTAGCAAAAATTGGAATTATATAACAAATATGATACTATGAAGAAAGACTTATATTGATTGTTAAATAATTGGAGCTTGTTTTGCAGGGAAAATCTATGTAATTACTAGTATTCTATAGATTTTTGTTATAATTTAACAAAGGTTATGAATCAGTTCTAATATTATTAATGTACGAGCGTTATCCAAAAAGTTCGTGGACAATGACGTTTTTGTTTAAAAAATGGTTTTAGATAAATCTTTTGTATATTAAAATATTTCTTATGAAAAACCAAGTCATAATGATTTAATTTTTATTGATGTAACTTAATATTTTTGTAAAAATTAGGGTCTTTAAAGATCGCAGATTGTGCGCAAGGACCAAGGTTAAAATGCCATAAACTCTTATAAGAAGTGTTCGGATTAAAATGATTATCATCTATATAAAATTAAACAAGTCAAAACTTAATAAAAATTATAGGTAACACACATATGGAGGCTATAATCATTTTCTGAAATCTTAAGTATCGTTTACTATATATACAGTGAAAATACTAAACAAAAACCCCTAACAAATATGTGTCAAAACTTGACAGAAAAACCGACGTCGGCCGTCTAAACGGGGCAACGTGCAATAAAAAAATGTTTTAATACGGTTGAAACGATGTAAGAGACATAATATTTGTTTAAACATCTTAACATTATTGAAATACGAGGGTCGTTAGAAAAGTTCGCGGACACTTTGAATTACGGAAAATCTATTTTGTACTGTGAAGTATGACCTATGTCTGAATAAATTCCTACATTTTGTTTATTGGTATGTAAAAAATCAGGTATATAATAAAATCTTGAAAATTTACAACGATTTTTACTATGAGGTCATGGAATTCACGGAGCAATCACTTGACGTAAGGCGACGTGACAACCCGATTTCAACCGGTAAAGTTTTGTCGCAGTGTTCTATAAATCTTTCATTTCTTCAGATTTTTCTTACCTATTTTCTACTTTAAAAACTGAATATCTATATCAAGACATATTACTTTTCTTTTATATAATGTCTTTTGTACTGATTCGGATATTATTGAGATCTTTAAAAAAGTCTATGCAGTTAATCGATCAGGTATGGAAACTATGGAAAACCATATAGGCGCAACGCAACGTCCATGCGATACGGGGGTATTGAAGTATCGATGGAGGTAATCATTCAAAATGTTAATCCTTCCATTCTTATGAAGCTACAACCATTTGAAAACTTGTCCTTTGTAGGTGTCTAGGAAATTCCCGGTAGCATCTTGAACATTTTAATCTCTTTTTAGACATTTTCCAGTCTGCATACATAATTTTTACATAGTGCAGTGCTCCATGACGCTAAATGACGTTCCGATTTTTGGCTGTGTTTTTAAGCGTTGATCAGTTAAAAACGGCTATAAAGCAGTCATATACCCTCCAATTTAGTTCAAAATTTCTCCGAATGACGTTTCATGAATACTATAGCGGCAGGTAAAATATCATAAAACTCTTTGCGGTACAATTGTGCAATTTTTAATTTTAATAAAGAGTCTTTGTGATGTAAACGTGCCAAAATGTAGCATGCTCCGTGAAGCAAGATTTATCAAAATAAAAAAGCTGTATATTTTTTAATAATCATCGGAGAGTACCAAATTCTTGTATATTAATTGGAAAAAAGGTAAAGATTTTATCTGCAAAGTTTGACCGGTTTCGTGGAAATAGCGCGCTCACAATAAAACTTGTCCGCGAACTTTTCTAACACCCCTCGTATATTTAGTTTATTGATTTGAGATTGAATTTATACCATTTTTTCAACGGTATGTGTGTACAAATTTGAAGACATTACAAGAATTCAAAAACACATGTAATTTGCTGAAAATGGAGATTTCTATTCATGACGTTGTTATAAATCAAGCGCAGCGTCGGACTGGGCTGTGCAGTTTGTGTATACAAAATGTTTATATTGATGACACTCGTAAACTTTTGTGCATTGTTTTGAATAATAAAAATTAAATAAATTAAAGCACTTTCCTGTTTACGCTAGCACTTGGAAATGCGGCGCCATAAAAAAGAAATGTAGTGTGTGTCCTTGAACATGTTTTAAATTCAAAATCCAAATTAAAATAATGAAATTAGCTTAACGTCACACTGGTCCATGCGCACTATCCGCGGCCTCTAAAGACCCCGATCTCTCTCTCTCTCTTTTTTTTTTTTTTTTTTTTTACAAAAATATAAATTCCACGTATAAAAATTTCAGTTTGTAAAGTTTTTCTTGTCAAAATATTTTGATATACATTAGAATAGGGTAAGAACCATTTATTTTGCTAAAAAAAATGTTGAAGGCCTTTAGTGTGATGATTTAAAAGAAGACTTCATGATAAAGAAGGCATGACATAATGAAGATCCCTTTATATGGGAATAATTTAGTCAGATATGAGAACAAAAGCTTGCATTCGTATCTAAATTTAAAATACTGAGACAATCAGATTAACATTTTATCTGTTTTGTGCTTATTAAATAATGATTTTATTTCTTGTTATATGTGTTTCCAATGCTTTTGTCACTGCGTGAATTTCTTAAAAATTAAAATGCAAGTATTTTTCTTTTTTACATTCTTGAATGGACATTTTGTAGGCATATTTAGCTACCGATATAAGGAAATTACCAAAATTTTTGTTGAACATGCAAAAGGATTATCGTAGAAATGCAATAAATTAATAACTTTAAACATTTTCCATCAATACAAAGGAAATCTATCTGAATAAGGAGAAACTATGTGACAGTACGCTGGATTTTCGTGTAGGTGCACAGTACTCGAATTTTTCACACAAATCATTAAAACCTTTTAAAAACTGTAGGATGTGACATCTTTATTTGCACTTTTTAGCACATTTTGCATAGACATGACAAAGTTCATTAAATGGCAACTTCCCAATAAATGATTAAAATTTAGAGTCCAAATATCATATCTGCAAAGTAACAATCGCTCATCTTGATAACTGTTGAATGTGTTATCCAGACAAGTGGTGTACTCTCTATGATATATTTGGGAAGAATATAGTTCATCAGGTGCTTTTTTCAATCGAAAATTAAAAAAAAAATAATGTCAGATTCACATATTATACATGTGCATTTGATCTGCAGATGTAATAAGAACGTTTTCCACTTGAAGGGTATTCTCTAGGTACATGTGATATATATATTTTTTAAACAAAAGATTGACTGAGCTGAACAGGTTTTGTCTCTTTCATAAGCAAACAAAAATTAAAAATCCAAGCAATGTGTACCTTTCGTAAATGCAATATAAAATACTCATAACTTAAAGCTGTACCGACAAACCCCCCATTTTCATTTAAACAGACTTTTAAGAACCTGTACTTCTCGCTTTATAAGTAGATATTAATTTGAGCCGTTTAAGATAATTAACTTTTGGAATGAAGTGCATAATAATTGCCTCACCTGATGCAGCTGAAATTGAAGAAAAAAATTATTGTAGAGGAGTACATAAAAACTAAGCTGCCATCATATATTAACGAGTAAGTCTATTAACCAAGCGCGTATTATGCAATATCAATTGAAACTTGAAAGTTCAATATTATATTGGAATACTTTTTTATGTTAGGTAGTTTTATCTATTTATCTAAATGTGACGAAAAAAATTGATAATATTAGAATAGATGACGTTCAATTTAGGAACATTTTTATGCCAGTCGGATATTTATATTTAAATTTTTTTCTATTTTGAAGAACACGTCTGATAAAGTAGGCGAGGAATCAGGACAAGATTTTCTTTCTTTCTACTACACAAAGTAAGTTGAAAGAGAAAAAGTTCTCCATAGATAAAATCTCATAATAAATAAATAAGTAAATAAAGCAATTTGACATATTTCTAGCACTTTATGAAATATCTGTCTGCCCAGAAAATGTCTATTATCTTGACTGAAACAAAGAAAATGATTTTATCTTATTGGAAATCTTCATTTTACGATCAAGGGTTATACAGTATAAATGTAGGTTGGCCCCAAATATAATTATTACGTATAAATTATGTACATGATACTTCGGATTTTCTGTGATTTATCAAAATGAAAACAAAATTAAAACTAAATTTTATAGCTTCTTGTGAAACCTTTGTCATTGTTAATTAGAATCTGGTTCAAAGAGGAACAATTGTCACCACGATTAACCTAAACACGTCATGGCTATATAATCATGTATAACTAGTATTCTTAGGAGCATCATGCTTATTGGCCAGAGAGAGAGAGAGAGAGAGAGAGAGTACAAGATTTTTTCTTTTCCTTATTCCTTTTAAAACTCGGAGTAATTATAAGCCTATTTTTTCGAAAACAAAATTTCTTGCACAGTTCAAGTTTAAATATAATTTTCATTTGCTGCAAAAGTTAATAAGAACCGCAAATTCATTATCTCGTCATCCTCATTACTATATACACGATTATCTTTTTTTTTTCAAATTTATCACCTTGAAGGTTAAGAACATTTGTGTTTTTTTCACATTAATTTAGGATTTCATACACATAACTTACATATCCAGTTTATGAAATGTAGTCATATTTATGGTGTTTTCATACAAAAATTGCCATAAGTATTGCATCAGAGGTTGTCTTTTGTATTTGTATTTTATTTAAAAGCACGTGAAATTTAAAGTGTTTTTATAATAGTATTAGAAATTCATCTATCAGAATAAACATGTAACACCATAAGGAGAATAAACGGATTTTACATTTTAGCTTCAATTACCGACATCAAAATATAGAAACACATTTTTTTAAATTCTCTAATGAATGAATTTATTATTTGGTTATCGATACAAACATTGTACTCACATTGCCCTTTTTCCAGCCATCGGGATCGGCTGTCTCTTGATGAAGTAAACAGTCATAAGAACTATCCATTGACGTCGTATAATTGACGGAGCATTTTGTACCTGAAAGTAAAACTGTGTTTTATGATTCCGTACTTCATTTAATGGACTCTGGAAAATCAGGTTATCACTTAATAATTGGAGTGAAATATTTTCTCTAGTTTCAATTTAAGATTGGGTTAACTTTGTATTTGATACCCCTTGGCAACTTGCCAATTCTGATTAAATGAAAAATTATATAATCAGATCCCAACTCGGCCATTACAAAATGTATTTTTTTTCCAAATGCAGCTAATAATGATACATAATAATAGATAATTGAAAAAATCATTCGATATGAAATATCAGTGGGTTTTTTTAAGATATTTGACATCAAACTACTTCTAAATAACAATATATTAAATGAACTTATTTCTGTTATTGAAAAGTAAGAATTAACACAAAGTATAAACTTACAATCAATTAATCTTTTAAAATGTTTATTTCCAGCATCACTTATGGTAAAATCTGCAGATGTTGCCGATGCCGAAAGCAACCGACAGTTGTCCTTTGATGTAGCCGTAGAAAATGTGAAACTGTAGCAAGACGGGATCAAATCGCACAGAGCAGCACAGTATAGGACAGTCTTAGCCGAGGCTTGGAGAATAGGAGTAGACGAACTTCTCTTGTCTGTATTGGCGGGAACAAGCGTAAAGTATTCACCAAAGCACAAACCAATTTTACACATCCCGTAAAGATAAAACAAGAACTGTTTTGTAGATGTCATGTCTTCAGCAGCACTTAATAAACAGAAACTTAACTTCGATGTTTAGTTTACACTTATATTTCGATTATAAGCTCAAAATTACACCGCCGAAAAGTTTACGTAAATCATAACCTGGTTCTTCTTTCAGATCGAATTAATCAAAGTCGTCTTGATGACAAACAGATTTAAACTACAAATGATCAGTGAAACCAGTTTAGCCCCAGATGATGGTTTTTAATTCGGAAGGAAGAAATAAAATTCAGCAGCCTTGAAGTTGAAAAGAAGTCAACCAATTTGCAACCACATTAAGATTATGAATTGCTACATCGACTAAAGTCATCTACGACACTTAACGAAAACTCGAGTTAAAACGATAATTATTAATCAATGTGCCCTAATTGTTATGATGGGCGTCAAAGTTGCTATGAAGATCTACCGATATTTTTAAACCAATTTTTAAAAAATTGTTAGTTTTCATAGCATTTTATGTTCAAGTTCCTTTACAAAATATAGACACTTTAATGAGAATGAGATAACTTTGAAGACATTGATAATGATAATCTTAGTTATTTTAAGAGATTAAAGTGATTTCTAGAAATAAAAGCCGAGGTTGAAAATGATTTAAATGACTAATGATTTTTCTTAAAATCAAAAACATAGCAAATTTGCCGTCTCTTATGCATGCAGTGTTTTCATTAATATAAAAAAGAACAACTCTTGTGGCGGGAATTAGTTTGACAAGAAAAACAGTTCTCTTTAAAAATGGGATCAACGCATGTAGACAAAAGCTTTAGTCTATTTCCTGCTGCTGTTCTCTCAGTGAAAAATTAGACTTTATTACGAGTTAATGATATATAATACAAAATAATATAAAGGTATTGTCCAGTGGTGAAATTGGAATTTCCACTGAACTATTGTTATAAAGTTCAATATTTTTTTTAATTCATACATCTGTTTATGGCATTCAAAAAAAACAAAACGATCAAAAGGTATTTTATTATTGTATTTCAGCAGAAATTAAAAAAAAAAAAAAAAACTCCTTCTAGATGAAATATGATGATTTGGTTAACGATGATCAAATTTACAAATTGTTTCCGCCATATTTTTATTCAATATTCCGTAACAAATTTTGAACCTAGAAATGCATTTACATTGCATGGCTGAGAATATTTTTTTCTGCGTCTCAAATTTTTTAAACTTGTTTACGTAAATAAGCCAGATACCTTAATTACAATTAACTGCCTTACTTTTTATATAATTAAATGTTTACATCATTTGTCAAGGTGCAGTGGAGGAATAATTTAAGATGTTAATAACATGTTACCCAAATAAATTCTGAATACCAGAATGAAGAACTCTAATTTAGCCTCTGGGTGTTGTAACTAATTATCGTAACATTGTTTAAAAAATGGTCTGAAATATCGTTCAACAAATACTATTCTCAGTTTTCTTGAAAAGATCCACTCAAGTATACTGGGTCTCTTGCATTACACCGGTTTTTTTTAATTTTGAGTTCATGAATTGGAAAGGGTTCTTAGATATTCTTATTGAAAACGTTATGTTCTGATATAAATAAGGAGAATACGATAGGAAAGGAGATAAAGAGAGGTAATTGTCGATGAAATGTAAGATAATAAACAGAGAAACAATTTATGAGTAGAGCCAACACCGACATACAATTACCGAAGTTGAATCAACTGAAATGGAGGAACAAGCATCACCTGACTAACGGTCACAACCACCGTGTATACGCTGTCATAATGGGGTAAACGGAACAAACTACTGAGATAGTGTAAAATAATAGCTCCAACAATGCGCATGAAAACAAAAATAAACAATCAACAATCGACCTAATAACCTATTAAATCTGTTATTTCGGTCATTGTATATATCATAGACTTTGCAAAATCTTAAGTTTAGATAAGATTGTTAATATATCCTGAAAGAAATCACTCTATTTTTGAAATGCTCTTGTAAATGGGATGCCCTTTTATATGAATAAAAATGTAAAATTTTATACAGTTATATGCAGGTGAAAATATTACCAGGTATATTGCTCCATGAATAAGGAGACGACGATAGAAAAATTGAAATCAAAACATTTGTAAAAGAGTTTAGATAGTGGTGTACCATCAATGTCTTTCATTCTGTACAACTATACGTCGAAGTCTTTCACTTAGAGTTCAACGGGACACACCGAATCAAGATTTTGGAAGCTAATACTATACCATCTTGAAAATTCAAATAACATAAAAATAGGCTTAACTTGTTAAGAAAGGTTACCCTATATAATGAGACATTCGAAGGAAAATTGCCCTTATTTTTGGCTTTTAACATTGCATAAATTCAAAATTATTCATTTTATTAAATTATTTTGTAATATCTTATCAGTTTAGAGGCAATTAATTTTATATTAAGTACATTTTATTTACAAGACATTTTAAATCATTGTCTATTGAGACATGTTACTCTTGCATCATGAAAGACCGGATTTTTCAAATTTCTCATGTCTACAGGACTTTTAAATACTTTCAGTCCTAACTCTTCGAACACTTTTCCGCACATTGTATTCACTTTTTCGTTTGCTTTTACAGGAATACTAATTCGCCACTTTTGTGCAAGTCTTGCAGATTGTCCATGTTTGAAAAGCCCAAACGATTGTTCAAAGTTATTCCTAAACGCCATGTCAACCCAAGCATTTTTCTCCGGTGTGTAGTCTAAGTCTAACGCTCTGTATAGCATCCTGGCAACATCCTCTGGATACAAAGCGAGACAATCATAGGTGAATGGGATAATTTGTGTTGGATAACTCCTTTGAAGTCTTTTGAATGCTTGTATGTCTAGCCAGATTCTACTGCATAAATGATTTGAAACGATTCCAATTTCCTTTTCCTCATATTTTACTAAATTGATTTGTACTCTTGAGTTCATCACTCCTCGAGGATCTCTTACAAGGTGAACAATTTTCAAATTTGGAATATTTGCAAGAAAACTTTCAGCAAATGTTGCTGGCATTCGTATTGTCTTTATAAGACGATGCTTGGAATTCAGACATTTATCTTGAAGAGCTTGTATGCATGTTCTATTAAATTTTTCTGGATATTCTAACAAAGTAAAATGTCTTTTGTCCCATTCTATCTTTTTTATAGGAAAACAGTCTCTAAATTCCTTTTGATAGCTACTTGGTGCAAACATTCTTAAAGGTTCGATGGCACCCATAGGAATGTCCAGGAATTTGCAAGAAAAAAGACTTTTGATGATGCGAACCGAACCCTCTACGGTTTCCCAAAATCCTTCTGGTTTTCTAAAAGAAAAGAAAATGTATGTTTTAGATTTTACAAGAAAAAATGAAATCGTTGTTCAATTAATATTTCTCGAAATATATTTTGATTACAGTGTGTATGCATTTTTTTTTAATAAGATTTTGCTTTTAAAAGTTTTCCTTTATTTATAAACTTCACTACCGTTGAATTTCATATGTATAATAATATATATTTATTGACTTATATGCAATAGATATTGCTTGCGATTTTTCACTAGAAAATCCTTTTTAAATATTTCGCTGAAAGCAATTAATGTAATTAGCTAAAACTTGTTATCTTTAGCAATGCTATTTGGAGAATTTACTTTGATATTCACAGGATCTCAAAGGATCTTTATTGCATACAATTCTTTGGTATCATTATCGTTTTCTTTTGAATGTTCTGAGTAAAGTTACGCTGGTCGAATTCCTTATTGGGTGATGAAAAAATGTAAACCTACTTACCTTTGACCATATTATTTTATTTTTAAAATTAATCAAATTGTTTTTATTTTCTTTTATTTTGCAATTTGATTGCAAGAGAGTAAATTACGTAGTTTAATTCTTAAAACTTGCAAATTATTATCTTATTTGTAATACAGGAGACTGCATTTATATAAATTCTTATGAACACGAATTTTATGATATTTATATCACAATTTTCGAACAAAAGCAGCATTCAAAGCATGAAAAACAGAATTCAGTTTGGAATCATTTCTGCAGACCTGCAATATCCGTGGGGGTAACAGACGTGTTGATTTGTTCTGTGGTCCCTATAAAGCCCCTGGAATGGCTCAAAGAAAAAGAATGTATTGTTGGTTTTCAACAGTTCTGACGTAATTGTGGAACCACTTCTCATGTATGTCATGATAAGAGTATATTTAACGTCATCTATAAATATAGGAAACATGTCATGAATGATACACGTAGATTGCGTACATCAAAAGCAGGGCATTGATTTATTTTACAATAAATCAAACTTTTGAACAGATACTTAAGTTAAAATAAAGTCCTCTCTCTTTCTCTCTAACTCTCTCTCTCTCTCTCTCAAATACACACCCTCACACATGCCCCCTCTCTTTCCCTCACATACACACCCTCGCCCTCACATACACACACAATAAATTGCATTCTGTACTTAACTCACCAATATACAAGTACATGATTATATATCTACCTTTATTTTGTTGCACAAAATCATTTACTCCATTCTGTTTTCCTCCCAGTACCTGCGGAGGGAAGGGATTTCTCTGGCCGTCCTCTAACATCAGATTAACGTGATGGTAGGAAAAGTTTCCCTTATGTTCCATATAAATAGGTATCCTAATTGGTTCGTTTTTCCGTGGAAAAATTTCAATTACATGTTTCTTAGATTTTACTGAATTCTGAAGCTGTTTGTTATTTGCCACGATCATATGACCGTAGTTTCGCACTGGGGCCTTTACTTGAACTTGGTTCCCAAGTCCATTATTTGGAATATTTTTGTTACTGGTTATCGGTCTATACTTAATGTTGTCTGATATAGAGGGTGCACTATTGCCTTTATATTTAAACCCTGGAGGGTATTTGTTGCTGTTTATAGAAATCTCAAGACCTGGTGACTGTTGTTTATACTGAACCTTCTCCTGAATAAATTTTGATTTTAATACTTGGTTAGTTGGTTGATGATTCGGATTCGGTTTGATAGTTTGATATTTTGTTTCAACCTCAATAGGAAATCCGAAAGCATTTCCGTTCCTAAAGATGTTATTATTATGAAAGTGTACAATATTTGCGACAAGTCCTTTTCTTAAGGAAGTTTCATTTTTAACGTTACTTAAACTTTGACTTCCCAATTTCACAATTATCCCATTTCTCTCGGTTTTAATATTTCCAAAATTTGGTGGTACAGGCCTTTCGAATCTCGCCAAAGTGTTATCTGGATTGAAATATTTAGAATCTTCAAGACGAATTTCTTCAGGAAACTTCTTCATAGTGTGTATATTTCCTATTTCGTTCCAGACAATGTCTTTCTTAATAATAGAATCAAAGGACTGGGCTAATTTCTGTTCTCTTTGGATACTAGGGAGCATAATGTAGGAATTCCCTTTATATTTAGACTTCGATCTCGATTTTAATATGAAATTATCTTTAAGATTATCAATGTCACTATAAGTTCCTGAAATAGGGAATATATTCTGTTCTTCTATAAAGTTTTTCACAATTTGTGTATTTTTCTGGTTAATGTGAAGTTTATGTATACCAGTACTTTCCGTGTTCTGTGTTCCTGCAAAGTAAGCATTATACACGTACAGTGTTTGTTAACTGTTTAACAAAACCTTAATACCATTGGCCTTAATAAAGAGGATAATTCTCGAGTGCTTTGATTTAAGAATAATTCTGTTACAGAGAAATCGATATTTTTTGCAGGGAAATTTGTTGTCTTAGAATAATAGGTTACTGTCCCTACTGAAGAGCATAAGTCAAAGACTTTAATGAACTATTTCTAAAAATACATGTTTCTATCATTCTTGTCGTGCATTTTTTCCTTTTGAACCTGAATTTTAAGCATTACAAATACAATAATTGTAATACTTATTGAATATCAGATTTATTTCTATATTACTTCAGAATTTCAATAATTTTATTGACATTCAAAATTAAGGATAATGTAATTCAATGCGTAATATAGAAAACGGACAAACATTGATAAAAATGAAAATGCACTTAATGACTATGATGACTTAATTTGATTTTTTCCAAGAAGACATACTTATTTTTTTTTTTTAGTTTATTTACCTTTACCGAACAAGATGTACAGAAGAAGGCAGACCAAAACGAATACACAGCAATGAATGGCACGACTTAGGTGGAATCTCATAGCTATTTTTGGAACCAAGGCTACAAGAATAATAATTCATGAACAAAATGCACACACTGTTTCTTTACTTTTTTTTAATTCTGTTCAGTTGACATATCACGTGCTTAAAACAAAAGAGTACTTACGTACGGAAAAAATTGTCAAAATTCAGGTCAAGATATATTATGTCTATCCATTTGAAAATCTCTGTTCGTCATTTATATTGGATTACCGGTTTAGCCATTTTAAAACACTTTTATCAAAATGTAAAGAAATTTGTTTGTAAAATGCATCAAATGCACACTTTTCATCATTTTGATAATTCCGACACAAATGTTTTAATAGGAAGTTAAATATACTGACAACAAGTAATGGAATATCATCTTATGTGCTGCAATTAATCGAACAATTATTTTTTATTTATTTGCTTAAAGCCTTTTTAGGAGAAATTTTCATTTTATAATAAAAAAAAATTGTCCAGAGAAAAAAAAACATTTAGCATCATCTAAGAAAACTTGATTTACAAATACTTATTTTCAAACATTAAAAAAATTATGCTAATTATATTGAATCAAAGTTTGCTTTGACAAAAATTGTACAACATTAAGGACATCTCCTTGGCTACTCCCAATTTCAGCTGCAAAATTGTATTGCGAGCAGAATATTAATGATGACCAAACATTTTTTTCTCAAGCAAATACATGAAGACATGGACACATAAGTAATTCAACAATAGCACCTTTTCTTGTCATTGTTTTACTTCGAAATTAGACATACAATGCCCTCAGGCAACCGCTAACAAAGTGTCGAGAGGCATACATTAATCAAGGAATATCCTCTCCGTTTCTTACCTTATCTATCTGTTAACAGCTTGTTACATCTGTCTGATTGTGTGGAGATTAAATAACCAGAACATGGATTAAAACCGCTAATTCTCTGTAAAAGATCAATCTCTATTAATTAAGTGATGTGATTCAAATGAAGTTACAAATAATCAGTGGATTGAAGTGAGTGAAAGAAAATACAGGTAAGGTTTTATGACATTTCTTTTTTTTCTTGTCAACGTCATCGCTTCACTTTTGGCTATATTTCCGTTTTTAATTAATCTTTACTTTCTTTTCTCCTCATTTTGAAGGATAAAAAATCACATATCTTAATTTAAAACCACTACTATTTAACAAATCTAATCTATACACTTTATGTTATAAGACGCAAGAAACTTAAAAGTATGGTGTGGTGGAGTAGATATGGAATAGATTAATAAACATGAATTCAAAATCGCTATGTAAATAATAATCATTTTACACAAAATAGATGCTCATACCTGCGCTATATTGGGGCGCCATTGTCATCTTCCATAACTTTTTTTCTGTTGGCACGTAAACGTTCACCATGAAATTAAACGTATATTTGACAAGAATGTTGCGGTAAAAATCGGCGGAGCATAAACGAAATTTTCACTAATTACTGACCTAGGGACTGAATTTAATAAACATAGGAAACATCTTAGTCAACACACATATATTTGAATTCTCATTGGTTCAGAAGGCCAAAGTTTCTATGATCCATTATGGTCACTGGTCTTGGCCGTGACGGTAATATGGTCGTTTTATTATTATATATCCATTTTGGCTCTCCAAATGCTAGACAACTTGACACAGTTATTTCTGTCGATGGTATTCTTTTTAGACTGTAACTTGAAATAGAGTTGAAAAGAAATTGAATATCTGATTTTTTTTTTTTTTTGGGGGGGGGGGGTACTTTTAGTTTTACGAACATCCAGTTTTGCAAAGGGTTTGAAAACAAATCTTCATTTACAAAATAGTTTTCTCTGTGAAAGTTTCACAGTGTTCATACCAAGAATGCGGAATACATTTTCCCCTGTTACATACTAGTGTTGCAGCTGTAGATAAGTACTAGTATTAAACAAAAGATCTAACATTAATTAAAAAGTGCATTGCAATGAAATCACTGTAATTAAACAATCGAAAAGATTGATAAATGATTGTAAAAGAAATAATCATAGACGTTTCAAATGATAGATACGGTAGCTTTTGCATTTTGTTGATCAGAAAAAAAGGTGAGCTATGGAAAACTACATGTAAAAAAAATATTGTAACGATACCAGTGTCCTTTATGTTTATATGTCGCAGAAAACAGGCAGTAAATTGACATACCAAAATGCCGTTTGTATTAACTGTTCTACTTTGATTGCAAAAGCACGACAACAAAAAGATTTGATGTTGTTGTTGCAAACAGTTCACATTTATATCCTGTTAGGTCTACACATATTTAATAAAAAGAATCATTGAATTAATTGAGAAAGAATTCAGTTGGGGCATCCAACTATGAAATTAAATTAAATACTTTTTAAAAAGATATTTAATTTTTTGTTTTAAAAAGTGAACAATAAAAAGCCAAATAAATATCTGCTGTTATAATAAGTTTAAGCAAAGCGAGATCACTCTACCTTGATTCCATTTCAAAATATGTTTCTAAATCTAACGTTACATATTTTCACGAACCTATCTAAAACAAACGGGCTGGTTAATGAATGTCACAAAGCATATCTTTTATCTTTGCCTTCGAAGTCTATGAGCGATTCTCATACTTATAGATACATGTAAATACTTTTTAAAATTATTTTATCAAAATTAGCAAAGCCAAATACTTCAAGTGTGTGGCTCTAGCTCACAAAGCAGAGATTTAACAGAGAACAGGAAGCAAACATAGTAAATATCTATCCCTGAAATGCTTCTCGAAGATGAAAGTTCATCACTTTGCATAAGTAAACTAAACCAATATCTTCAAAAATTGTCCATGACCTTATCATTTTACCAGTGCAAATTCTTTGAGCAAAGAATGAAATAATTACATGAAATATATAGAGATAACGAACAATATTCAATCTCAAAGTCCATTAAACAATACGAAATAGGAACTGAGCAAACACGGACCTCCAAAACATCAGAGATGGGATCAGGTGCCATGGAGGAGTGAGCATATGAGCATGTATATATTTTTCCCTTTCATTTTTACTTTAAAACAGTTTAAATTAATTGTTAATTATTAATCTAATTCAGAAGTACGAGCGCTTCGTTAAAAACGGGAATACTTTCATTTCAACACTCTTGGGTTTCGTACCTTCCAAAGGAAGCACAGATTGCACATACTTGTATTTATTGAACTTTTTTTACCTTACTAAACCAAAACTTAGTAGTGATGAATTAAATTATAAATATACATACAAGAACAATTCTAGAATAACTTGAGGGGTAAAAATTACAATACAGAAATTTTATATCAAAAGAATCTAAAAATGTATCCCATTAAAATCACCTCCTTATAAAATTGAATTTACACAAAAAGAAGATTCTTTCTCAATAAATATATCCTTTTTGAAGCCCTTTTCCTAAGATGATATTGATATGCTAAAGATTCATTAATATTTTGAAGAGAGAGATCTTCAAAGAATTAAAGTTTACTATTCCTTTAAATTCATTTTGAGTAGAATTAATTTTTGTACCTACAAGCCATACTAAAATTGTTTACAGTTTCCTTATAGGTTACTTATCTGAATGAAAATCAGGAGTATTGAAGCAACATTTTAAACGAGGGAACTTTTCCATTTTTGAAATATGCCGTTATAGGTTAAACTTAGAACTTCTATTTATATCCTCGGGGGTCATGGTGTTGACAACTGTCAATATTGACTAAATATGAATGCATGACCTGACGGATATTACTCTATTTGTTTTTCAAGCCAAGGTCTTCAACAAAATTAGCTTACCTTTGTGTATTCCTAAACATAAACCTATTGAGACCTTAACTACTTTCCCACAAAAAAGGATGCAGCATTGTGAAGTGGTTATACATGCAGTGCTTGCTCTAGTAAAGTCATGGAGCAAGGAGTTGAAGCAGGGTTTCGAATCCCGCTGCGGGTCAAATATTAAGGGGACCGGTTCTTAAGATGGAACCGTAGAAACCGAGTCCCATGTCGCATTAAAAGTGCTAGCACAAAAAATCCTCATTGTTCTGTATCCCAAATTTCAAGTAGAATAATCAAAATTTGCCGCCCTCAAACGGCACACGGTGGCATTCCGTTATATGAGTGAAAAATTTTCAAGAGGACGTTAAACAAATATAAATAAACCATAAAAGCAATGTTCTCCTTAATCTCAATTGTGCTACACTACGATAGCTGCATATCCTAAAATTGGATTGTTCATGTTTTCATAATATATGAAGAAAAACAATTGAAGTGGTTGCCAGTACATATACAATTATATATATTACTTCGAGAACTCTGTCCACGTACAAGTACTATCTCTATATCGAGTTAAATATTTTTGAGTATTTGAATAAATTGTATTCTTTATCTACTTTAAATTTTATAAACATTTGACGTTATGTGGTCCTGTTTTCTTGAAGTTTGTTTCAAAGTACAATGTACAACATTTACTCGGTTGTTTGTTGTCGTGACCCTATTATAACCTCAAGACACACCATCTAAAAATTATGCTGTATTGTTTACAACGTGAAACGTGTGAGAAGACATTTTGACAAGGAATTCCATTAAGATACTAATATTATTACCTGTGCTTATTTTAATGGCTGATCAACCCATTAATCATACATTTAATATATGAATACAATACTCAAAACAAAAGGACTTGACAACCTCTACCGATTCAAATCCCTTGCATTCCTCTTTCTGTGTCTGCTGAAATACACCAAATTCAAGCTTGTTTATTTAGTTTTTGTGAAAGAAATGTATTGGAAAAAACAAAAATATTTCATTAATATGACTTAATTTAATTTTGGAACTTTTTGGTGTGAACCAATATAGTAATTGGACTTATACAGTTGATAGGAAAGAATAAGATATATGTATCGTCTTACGGTATATATACATGTACATCAGGCTCGATATATCCAATGATAATCAAATTTTTGGAGCAGTATCCAACACAAGGCGACTGATTTCTGGTTTTATTTTTCAAACAAGAAAAATCAAACAAAAGTGGATATCATTGGCTAAATTTGTCTTTAAAATCTAACAATATTTGGAACCAACTACATACATTTGTATAATTCATAAACAGGCTTTTATAATGCATTCGGAACACATACAAAAACAGAGTGGTTTAAAATTTCTAAAACAAGGAGAAATAGCCTAAATATACTAGTAACTTACTATGATTAATAGATTCATATTTAAAATTAAATGTCAATCACTTTCTTCCATAATTTTGTCAAAAACACATAAAAAATGGATTGAATTTGTGTTTATGAGTAAAGTTCAAGTAGACATATTTCTATATAGCAGCTCAAATAAATAGTCATATCAAAGGACAAAATAATTAAGTACATCAATATAATTTGGATATACGTGTAACTTGGATCATAACTTGATTAACAATAACAGTAGATTCTTCTCGAAGAATAGATATCTAATAAATTCGAATAGAGATTCGTCATGAAATAACATAATTAATTTAATCATAGCAAATATAATTACACATCTTTTCAACTATCCATCTTTAAAATCTCTCTCTCTCTCTCTCTCTCTCTCTACATGAGAGAAGGGATAAATAGCAAACAAACAAAAAATCTCTCTCTCCCTCAACTTGAGTGAAGTGATAAATAACAAACAAACAAATCTCTCTCTCTCTCTCTCTCTCTCTCTAATAGTTCTTGTGAACACGTTTTATTGATATGTCAACTGATATTATGGCGGACTCTGCTCTTAAAAAGCAAGCCATTTATTGCATCGAATATCCTATACATATACATAAATATTGAATTGAAATAAAGACCAGCTGCTACGTGAAAGAAAAGATAATAGCATAAAAAAATAAACAAATATACACACATTGGAAATTATACAGAAAGTAGAAAAAAAAAATAAAATTAAGGACAATTTTTTGGCACAGCTGAAAAGGATTTCGTCATATTCTTAATGCATAATGAAAAGTATATTTCTACAATAATAATGCAGGTTTTGAAACTTAAAATACCTTTAAATAATGTGAACATTGATGAGTACTCATTTGCACATGTGTATGCGTATAAACTTTTTTTGTAAATTATTTTATATAGACCCCATAACCATAAACCTAAAACAGACTGAAGTCTTAATTTTAAGTTTTAACATACCAAAAAAAATCATCATTGATTTAAGTATTTTTAGATTCTATAGACTAACTTAAGTCTTGCAAGTTATTTAACATTGTTGACATTAAAATTCAAGATTTTCGACATCTAATTTTACTTTAAACTATGATATTATTTTAAGATATTGCAAATGTAACAGATTTTATGACTAATGAAACGTCATGGACTGTATCTATGAACTATCTGAACGCTTTTTGTTAGGAAAGGAAAAGTACAAGTTTAATATTTTTAAAGTGCTAGATTAAAAATCTCATGAATTGTAGAAAAATACAAATGATTTCCAAAATTACCTTATTCCTATATTTGTATACAACTCAAAGTTGTATGGCGAGAAGTTAAAATATAGTGATGAATATATTCGTAGGCAAATGTCCTCCTGTGTGCACCAGTACTCTTATTGTTTTTTCCTTTAATTTCGAGTCCGTAGAATAAATGAGTTATCCACAATTTGATATTTTTTCTTATAATTTTCCATAACTATGGCTTCATGCTGGAGAAAAGGAATTTAATTTTTTTTTTCTGATTAAATGTATATGCCATTTGGAATTACAGGTTTTTGTTTTCTTACAGGGTTGAATGTATAACTAAAAAATTTTTTTAATATATGATAAAAATCTAGATCGAAATTAAATGATGTTCTATAAAATTTAATGATAAATAATGGTTAGAGAATTTCATTATTAAGAAAGAAACTGATTTTTTTTCTTCCTTCTCCATCAAGAAACATCTAAGATGAATCATTTAGCACACAGATTTTGCTTTTGCATATGGGTAAACAGATTTGCACCTGCAAGTCCTTGAAAAGATGCAAATATGCTTAATAAGAGTATTTTTGCATACATTAAAGTGCAAAGACAAAGCAAGATTGGCTTACATGAGTATGTTTACAAATATGCGAAGCATTTGCTTATGAACTTGTGTAACTTCCCGCATATAAACAGCTAGGTACAAGATATTTAACTCTGAAACAAAGCTTACCAAACACAGAAAACAAAATATCTTCGTTGACGCATCACAAACTGTAGCTTTGCAAAAATGTAAGCACTTTGGTGTATCTGAAATCGTTGTCTATACCCATGGCACAAGTAAATCACCAAGATGGAGTCTGTCCCATGACGTCATTATTAATAGCGCGCTTTTCTATCTTTACCCACGGAAGAGTTAGGACAACCAACAACCTTTGTTTTTCTAAATTTTAGAATCCGCCTTCTGTTCATGAAAATAAAGATAAATGTTGGTACTGCGAGAAGAGGAATCGCAATCATACATATTCCAACCGAAAGGACGACATAGTCTTCGTTATTCCCAGCATAAAATGTGATCAGAGCACCTATAAATAACAAAATTGGAAAAAAATTATTCATCACAATTTATACATGTTATAATAAAAACAATTCCATTAGCATAATGTCGGGCACCTACATGTATAGGATAAAGGGTTAAAAAAAAATGGCGCGCCCCTCTCAAAATTAAGTTTTGTAAATAGTGTCTATTAACATGTATTACAAAATCATTTTCAATGAGAGGCCGTTTGGCCTAACCACCGTTTGCTGCATTTTGTTGCAGTCCCACACAGCGTATGCCGCATTTTGTTGCAGTTCAGTATGGTTGACACATCCATGAAAATGAAATGTTTGTCAATACACCCCCCCCCCTCAAAAATATGAAGTTACTAAAAAGTTCCTGAACGTAGATTTTCACTTCCTTCCTCGATAATTTAGCAATGCATTCTACCTTTATTAATTTTTTTTAAGTTTATTTGTTGATTCTGTCACGTACCAGCAGGTAAAATAACAAGGAGCAGTATTGCTAGAGCACAACCTGTGATACATCCTCCCATACAACAAACACTGGATGACGGTTCATCTGAAAAGACAGATACATGATTCAGTCATATTACAAAGTTACAGATATACTAGTAATTAAAAGAAGTGGAGACAACACAGCTCTCTCTCTCTCTCGTTTGAATAAAGAAACTGGAAAATAACGACTTCTTTTTTATCTTGTAAATTTTATAATCCAGTGAAGAAATTTAATTTCTTTATAATTGTTCCCATTCTATCTAAAAGATATAAACTTAAAAAAGAAACGTATACAACTCAAAGTTTCAATATCTTTTAAAATGGTCCTTCGAGTGTGCCTTCTTGTCCTCCTTCTTTTTTTTAAAAATGGTATATGTACCTGAATTTTTTTTTTATTTATTATGCATGTACTTGAACACTGTACGTTAATCATTTTTTATGCAAAACATTGAGTCATTGTTGACATATCAAATTAAATCCACATGAATCAAATACACACTTATTCTTGTTTGTATAAATGTGTTTAAAAATCCGGCCATTTTTTGCACAGCTGCATAAATTCTGTAAATATTCTGTCTCATATATATATATATATATATATATATATATATTCTATGTATCGATCTAGAGGGGGTGGGGGGGGGGTCTGAACTTCTCTCTCAGAATTATTAATCAACACCTTCACCCCACCACAAGAAAAGCGGACGCCGGGTAAATTAATATTGAGAGACCCTGTTGTTCTGGTTCTGCCCTACACCAAAACACGTTTTTCGGGCTTGGAGAAGCATCGTTTCCCCCCCCCCTCCTCCCCCCAAAAGGCAAAAAAAAAAAAAAATTACTTGATCAGCACACAATTAGTATCCATGTGAAAATTCAATCATAAGAAATTCTGTGGTCATTGACAAGGCATATTGACGAGATCAATTTGTGTTTTCAGATCCCCCAAATACCAATCGATTTTTATCACGCATAAACTACCCGGTATCTAATTATCTAGTATTGATGCAATATTGATTCTAAAAGGTCTTATAAGTGCAGTTATAGATCTTTTTTTCCTTTCTGAAAGCTTCAGTCTTGCCAAAATGAACTTGAATTTCCTCGGTTTGACCGCACAACCTTTTCTCCTGTGTTGAAAAAAAAATGCTCAGAAATGCATGTATCTTTTTCTTCTAGCCTATAAATGATTCATCGGACATTTTTTCTTCCAAATGTCAAGAACAAATGTCGTGTACATATTTTGTAATTATCGCCTTATAAAAATAGTTTATATTTGAATAATACTTGTGATCGTTGTGTCATTGTTTTAAAAAATGCTTTGCTTAAAAAAACTATTTTTATTGTCCTAATCTTGCCAATCTAACCCGTGATTATTTCCCAGAACGAAAACATGATTAATGCGTCCTTTCCACGTTAAATCGTTTGCGTTCCCTTGTTAACCATTTACAATTTGTAATAATTTGTCTACTGTGCTACCAGAAACCATTGTCGCAGAAGTCTAATACATCAATGGAACATTTCCATCAGATTTCAGACTAAACTCAAGTCTTAGACCGAATGCACAATATGACCGACATTTCTTCCTTAGTTACTGCTACAACGTGTGAAAATGCTCCATATTTAGGTGCAATCTAAAATCTTTACAATCAGAAAAGCTTATGCCTCGTAGATGTACATATATTTTTTTTTAACACTAATTTTTTAAAGTGTGTAGGTTTTTATGCTTAATTGATATCAACTACCAATGTTTTCTTACAAATCGTCTTAGCTTCCTTAAGATCGTTAAGTTTGCTTTCTGATTTTCTTCAAATTATCATTTGGTAATAAAAAGGGATTTCATTTCCTGAATCCAGTATTAATAGGCTTAAATGAATCATCAATTTTTGTTGAACTCAAAATGAACCTGTGAAGCATAAGAAAAGATTATACACAAAATAAAAGGCTAAGCAATATCGAATCACCATTCATATTTCAACATCGTGCCAAAAATTAAATTATGCTAAAATGCTTTTCTATATTTGCACGTTTTTAAAACCTTTCATGCAATTGTGTTCCGCATAAATAATTGCTATTTTTCTATTTTTGAAAAAGAAAAAAAAACCTCACACACACATAACAAATATTGATCTTTACCTATAAATATACGTAAATAGTACATGTAAAATATTAATGAGATTTTGTGGTTAAATGCCTAATCAACCAATGAGAACAAAATATCCGTGTAGAAAAAAATCTGATATAACCGTATATAAACGTATTTATCTGTATATCGATAAATCAATCAGCTTTCATTTTATAATGTATATTACAATTTTCAGTTTCCCTAGATGCTCCTGTTTTCTTCATGAATAAATTTCTTTTAATTATTTGAGATATGGATCGTTATTTTTTATGAATGCAATTCTATTGTACTTGTCAATGCTGGTATTTGCAGAGCAAAGATAAATCGATATAGCCCGCCACATCTGTTTCTTTCTGCAATCGATCTTTATACGATGTTCTTAATCATAGATTCTCCTAATTATACTGTACTGAGTTTTTAAAAAAAAAAAAAAAACATGAATTCAAGGACGTCTGAAAATATCAAATTTATTTATGTTCAAAAACAAACATTTTTTCTTTTAATTTAAATATGTCCTCCACGGCCCTGCATATAGAAAATTTCTTTCGACATATTGATAACACTTCTGGATAAGCACATGGACATCATTTTGGACAATGTATAAGCTAAGACCCCCCCCCCCTCCCTCCGCAAATGGATTTCCTCTTTACTATATTATGAGACAAGGCGGTTGCACAACATAATTACAAGTAATACTGAAGACCAGTTAGATTATTTTTTTAATTTGATGTATTAATGAAAAAAGACACGCTATGATTACATCCCCATCCCCCACTCCGCCCCGAAAGAGACAGAAAATGTGTTCCTGTTACAGTAGTTTTCGGTTATTGCGGGGTTAAACAGATATAATTGAAAATTCTAATTTAAAAATTAAAAAAAAAATGTCAAAATTTCAGAGCGCTTTTATGCATTAAGACACTTATAAAAAATAAAATTTATTATTTCATGATAGGAAAAAACAATACATAGCATAACTTTATCATAATACAATCAACATAATGGTTTAAGAAAAAGATTCAAATTAAAATTGACTATATATATATTTTGTACTAGTTACAAGTATTTACATGTACGCAAGTATTTACATGTACGCAAATATTTACATATTCGCAAGTATTTACATATACGCAGATGTTGTATTGGATGGACAAGGATTTCCGCGAATTAATATAAGGGTAATAGCAGCATATGGTTACACATCATCCCTGATTAAATAGTGATAATGGCCACTTTGGGTGTATACTGGAAAATTGACGTAATATTTTATCTGTGCTAAATCCCCAAGGAGCATATCGTGGTCATCCGCGTATCCCGGTTACTCGGAACGGAGTATGTTATCCTCGTATCTTTGTAGATATAATTATTACCGCAGATATTGTAAAAAGAGATTGAAAATAAATTATTTGCAAACGGATATGGGTTTAGAGTTATTTGTAATTTTTAGCTGTTATACACTTTAAGTAAAATACTACAAATGGTTTTCAAATAAACCGATTATCATTATATAATTTCCATTTATCTAATGTTAAAGAATTCAGTAGCAAACCCTTTGGTAGGAAATCCATTCATGTAGAAAAATTTAAAGTTGTCATTTTATTTATCTTGGTCTTTAACAGAGAACAATATGGTTTTAAAAGTTATTTCCATAAGGTCACAGTGCACTATGCCTGTAAAAGTTTTCTGTACCAAATTTTGACTTCAAATAAATATTGGCAATGCAATGCATAAAACGTGCAAATGCATTTATATATTAAAAAAAAATGCATGTTATTGACATTAAGTTATTAACATCAGTGCATTTCTTCAAATAGAAAAATAATATACATTTTTTTTCAACATCAGGTATATAGGTATATTAGTTCTATACATACAGTGGATACATGTATCCCCTTTCAGTCACGCTCCAAATAAATGAAATAGAAGATATAAAGACACACAGCTACCTTAAGACACACTTAAACCTCGTATTTGGAAATAACTTAATTTAACCATATATATAGAACAGACAACCTACAAACATGCTTACCTTCATCATCCGTGTCGTCGACAGTATAAACTCCCATAACGGAGCAGTGACCACCCTTCACGATGCGGCTGGCCACATCCTTGTCTTCGGAAGTTGTTAATCCAATCCCGGAAATGTCACCGGAAAATAATCTGTATAGGATTAAACACAATTCTTAATCCTGTCCTTAAAAAAGAGTTCAGCTTTAATTTAAAAGGCTTATTAGAAAAGTCTTATTAGTAAACATAAGAACATAAAAATACATTCATAGATCCCAATCTAACTTGTAAAACAAAATGAACAGAGTTTAATTTAATGTTTCCATACCTTGTTGGGAAACTGTATTGATTTCAATCATTTGTTACGTGACAATCGTTTATCTCAATAATAGAATGATAGATAACTTTTATCTTATTTCTGTATTTTCACTTACCTCTACGTGAATTGTTTTTCTTCCTGAAACAACTATTGGTAGATTGATTTCCAATCAATCAAAACTAGAAATCGTGACGTTTAAGTTTACACCTGTTAATTCTGGATTTTTATTACTGTGTCGGTCTAGTAGTCCTCTACCCCTATAAACTCAAACTGCATGTCACCCAGAAAGGGGATTTAAATGTTTTACCTGTGTATACCTGTGTGTCATTGTTTACCTGTACCAGTTTAAATCGTTCGGAACACCTCTATCGCTTTGATAAGGCCGACAGTCATAGCAACGATGTAAATAGTGGTGTTTTTAATTTTTTTAAAACATTGCATTTCGAAACGGCAGAGCAAAATTACGTTGCATTATGACAGTAATGAAAATAAAAATAATCAGTTTCATTTGTTTTTACAACATTATATCACCGTACCACCTGCAAATCAGAAAATATTATGTGTAAATGTTTAAAATGGGAAGGAGGGGGTGCAACTACACAGAGAGAGAGAGAGAGAGAGAATTGATTTTCAAATAAACCGACAATCACAATATAAAAAAATATGTCCATCTGGATTTTAAACTTTCAAGTATAAGCCCCAATACAAAGTTTGACATTTTTTGGGGTCATTGATGATTTTGTTGTAGAACGCGTGAGTGTAATCCTATTTTATCCTACTGAAAAATATTAAATATCAGTAATTTTGAAATTACATAAACGTCCATTAACCCTTTTAGTGTTCTATGGAAATGCCTTTTTTGCAATCTCTCCAGTTTTCATTCACGTAACACATGTACATAGCTAGAAAACAGATAAATAAAAGGCATAATTTTAATTGAATGCAGCAATACATTTTTGTTGAAAATTTTTGAAAGAAAGAAATGAAAAGTCTGACATAAAAATAAAGTTCTTTTGAAAATCAAAGTAAAAAAAAATTAATTTTTTCCTCAAACATATTTTCTCCATCTCAGTGACATATAGGTACATAACTGTTGCGTTATGGTTTTATATATTATTCATTGCAGCTAAGTGTAAAGTTTCACGTTACGTCACGATCTAGTTGACAGCTGCGCTCAAGGTAAATTGTACACGCCTCCTAAGCTTTACGACTGGAACTTTCTTCTTATCCCTGATTGGTTGCTCATGTAACAGACTATTTCCGTGTTAATGTTGATAATTTGAGTTGACCAATCACGTGAATTGTTTACGCTGGATGAATCTGACGAAAAAGATCGTGACGTAACGTAAAACTTTACACTCAACTGCAAACTGTATTATAGTTTCCAGTTAAGTGTGAAGTTTTGCGTTACCTCACGATCTTTTTCGTCAGATGCATCCAGCGTAAACAATATAAGTGATTGGGCATCTCATATTATTAACATTGACAAGGAAATAGTCTGTTGCACGAGCAACCAGTCAGGGATAAGAAGAAAGTTCCAGTCGTAAAGCTTGCGGTTAGGAGGCGTGTATAATTTACCTTGAGCGCAGCTGTCACCTAGGTCGTGACGTAACATAAAACATACTTAACTGCAAACAATAATAATATTGGTCTTTGACCATAACGCTACATATCCCGTGATGCAAAATATACCGGTACTGGTATACAATTTACGGCGCAAGATTTTTTACGCATAGTGTTTGAATTTCTCCACTTTCAAACTTTGGTACATCATCCACCTTTCACCACCTGATTCCAGACACATTCTTAAACCAATATGTATATTCTATTCTCCTCTCAACCCTTTATAGTTGCCTCTACAGGCGATAAACTGGCTTGATTTGAATTGTCTGAGGGATTGCAGAAAATTCTAATTCAAGCGAGTTTATCGCTTGTAGAGACGACTATAAAGGGTTGGGAGGTGTGTAAAATGTACAGATTTATTTAAAAAAAATGTGTCTACAATTATGGCCCTCCTCTAACCTGATACCCAGAAAGCTTTCATAGATAGAGAATATGAGGAAAAGAGAGAAGATAAATGGACCTCATATTTTCGCCAAGGTAACAAATGCACATCCTTTCACTCTCTCCAATTTGCAAAAAATATAGAGATACAAAACAGTATCCAAGCTCAAATGATCATTCAAACAATGCAAATCAGAAACAAGCAAACAAACGTCAGATGTGGGATCAGGTGCCTTGGAGGAGTAAGCATCCCCAGTCGATCGATTACATCCACGTGTGTTCCTTGTCATGATTGGGCAAAAGAAAAATTCTTTACAAAGAAAAGAATAAACAAGAAATAGCCAATAATAATGATCTTGAACAAACAATTGAGCACGTAGATGATCAGTCTGTCCATGTTGTTCGAATGTTTGCCATCAACTGCCTATCAGAAAATTGTAAAAGTTCTAAAATCAAACATCAACAATGTATTTTTTCCCTTCTGAAACATTATGTGATTAAAAGTGAACATATTCTGAAGAAGCATCACTGTGATCAAATTTTCCACTACGACAAAAGTTGTCTAAATTCTCTAAATCATAACTAGATATATTTCCCATCTATACGTTGAATTGCATTTTCTCTTTCAGCAAATATGGCGTCATACGACGGCCGCTACAGTCCCGAGTACACTAACATCAATATTCCAGACATCTTAAATTCCAACTCGGACAAGGAAGAAGAGTACGAAAATGTTGTATTGCGACCAAAGGAGTCGACGGATAATGATGAAGTCTTCGAAAACTCGTCCAACACATCAAGTCCGTCCGCTGAACCCAAAAAACGACGGTCGGGTGTCGTGATTAGCATGGAGAATTTGAATAAAATCTCCCCGCCTGAATCCAATGATGAAGATGAAAGAGACAATTTGCCACGATTCACGCTTTCATCTTTTCCTGGATCGCCAGAAGACCAGTTAGAGCTAAAAGAGATCGATTTTGAAGATAAAAATGAAGACGATCAGGAGGAATCGAAAGAAAAAGAGGATAAAGTTTGTAATTTGATGCCAAATCCCCATTCAGTGGGTGTTATTTACGATGAAACACGACCTCGACGAATAAGTCATGATTCATCGCGGTACAAACCTTCTGACGTAATATATGACGAAACCAAACCAAAACGAAAAGTCAGTTTTGATACAGCCATGCCAACATTGAGAAAAATAAGACATGACAACATGCCAATTCGAAAAATTAGTTTAGACACCGGTCTGGACTCAAAAAACATTCGCAGAATCAACATCGATTCTGCAAGCGGAAGGTTATTGAAGAAACAGTGTTCAAATCCGGAAGTTAAGACTGATAGAAATATTGGTCAAATAAGCTTTGATGAGGAGTCCGGAACTCTTCATATTCGCCAAATAAACCCAGAAGAGGACGATTCGTCACAAGTGATGTTTGAAACTGACACTCCTTGTGCAACGCCAAGAAAAATGAGCTTTGAAGGGGATCCTTCAGATATCGGATACATTAATCGTGGATTTGACAACGATACATACTTAGACAATGTTACATTCCAAGTGCAGAGGGTCTACCCAGATATTCAAGAAAAAGATCTTAATGGCTTCACCAAGAAGTCAAATGGAAATTGTGATAATATGGGATACGAAACTAAAGGCATCCTTAAAGGATCGAAAACGAGACAGGCTCCAGTGAATGGAAACTCAGACTGCATTGAGGATAAAGATTTACACTCAAAATTGGCAGAACATCTAAGAAAGGATTCAATTGCTTTGACCAGCGAAAAGCTAGGGCAGATCCTAGATCTTCAAAAACACTACTCCCAACAACACATGCGAGAGAAAAGGGTAAAGTTGATTGCTTTATTATATGTCTTGGCAGTTACTTAGCTTAATAGTAAACGTTTTCACAGACAAGATGTTTTTTTTCAAATGATCTATATTTACAAATTAATCAAAATTAATCATAAAAAAACCATTCAATCACAATGTACGAAGAAGAGATTCCCTGTCCTTCTCTGTCTAGCAGCTAGAACTGGCACTTGGGCAATAAAACTTAGACGAGTTCAATTTTGATCTTAGTGTCAGTTTTAAATACAGTGTAATGAATTCAAAATGGAAATGTTAGACTAAGATAAAAAACTTGACGTCCAAGTTTTGTGGCACTAAGCCTGATTTCTTTACGTGCCTTCTTTGTTTCATTGTAGATAGGTATTTTCCTTATAATGAAAGACACTTCGTTTAAGGTTTTTCTTTCATAGGTACGTCTAATTGCAGGTTCAAATGGCAAAAAAAAAAGATGGTAGAATACCACTGATTAACAACTATATTACGTATAAATAATAACTTCTAAAATATCTCAATTTTTTTTTTCAGTTTGGCAAACAGAGAGAAATTCTGAAGAAATACCGGTTGCATTTGGGAGTTTCAGCGTTGTTAGTATTCATTATAATTCTTGTGAGTATCGGATGGCACTTCCACAACATTGCAAGGAAGGAAAAGATGATCAGTCAAAGAATTTTCTTCGAGGCCAATTCTAAACGGATATCCCTTTCTGATCCAGGCGAAAGGGATTCACTGTATGGAACACTTGGTCATCAGATACCGTCATGGCAGAAACCTACTCATTGTCTTGGTGAGGTAGAAACACAAGAATTCCAATGTTTACGTTGGAAAAACAGTGCTATCTTAAGGATAAGTTATTTTTCGCCCCCTGAATTGAAATGTTATAATATCTCTTGGGAATCTATCTCTGCAGAACTTTATCCTTTGGATTGTTATAACATCGGAAACCAGGGCTGGTTTGGACCCTCGAATCAAACTCATCCCGAATGGCCAATGACTCGTGACACCGAGTTTACTTTCTCAGCCTCTTATTCCCAAAACTTTGATGCAGGAACTTTTAATTCGGCAGTTGAAAACTACTGGCTTTCAGAAAATGGAAACGGTCTCTTGGTCAGCGATAATATTCCTTTAGTTATGCATTGGAATACAAAGAACAAAGGATCATGGTGCATCACTTCCAATTATACTGGTGATTTCTATGGTTTCAAAGCAAATATTGACAAGAAGAGGTTTCTGAATTACACGATTTGTAATGGAAATGACCCCAAATCTGCACATAAATACTTCAGAAGTTACTTGGAACCTGGGCCTGGTAGCTTACCAACAAAGCTGCTTTACACAAGTCCACTTTGGTCAACGAAAGGAGATAGAGATTCCAAAACAGTTTCTGAGGCGGATGTTCTCAGCATTGCCAATAATATAAGGAAACATAACATTACTTGTGGTTCAATAGTGGTGGATGGATTGTGGGAAGACATTCAAGGGGATTTCACTTTTGATGAACAAAGATTTCCAAACATTTCTACCTTGCAATCTACCGTTTTGTCGACTGCTGAATGCTCTCTCACAGTGTCATTCAATCCATACTTTGATTACAAATCTGACAGTTTCACAGAAGGGCATCCAAAGGATCATTTTATTCTAGATGCCAGTGGCAGAGTTCCAGCACTTGTCCAGTGGAATGATGATGTCATGGCAATGTTAGATGTGACTAACCCTGCAGCTAAATCATGGATCACTGGGAAAATGATGACGTTGGCGGACAGGTACAAGATCAAGTCTTTCAAAATGACATATGGCAAACCCACTTGGTTGCCTTTCCATCCGACCTTTCATAAACCTGACGTTACTCCAAATCAATTGAAAAAGGAATTCACTCACATGTTGGTTTCTTTTCATCAATTGAATGCAGACATCATCGAAGGAACTTCACATACCCAAAACCTTCCTTACTTTGTGTCTGTTCGAACAAAGGTTAAACAAACGGAAAATGGTCTTTGTCTAACTGGAACCATTCCTGTAGGTCTAGCACTAGGTATGATGGGATATCCTTTTGCCATGGCTGATGGAATAAGCTACAAAAAGTACGATCCCGAGGATAAAACCTACGAACTTCTTCCAAGGGATCTATATGTTCGATGGATTCAGATGGCTACCTTCTTCCCTGGTATGAAATATTCAACCCCACCGTGGAAGTACGACAATGACCTCGTCAATTTCGCCAGAAAAGCTGCACAGAAGCACGAAGAATATGTGACCCCAGCGATTGAAACCATGATGGATGACATAAAGGCTGGAATGCCCATCATTCGACCTGTCTGGTGGATAGATCCGGCGGACAAAATTGCCAGGAGTGTTGGCGATTCTTTCCTCATTGGGGATAACTACCTGATTGCTCCTGTTCTCTGTGAAGGGAAAACCTCAAGAGAGATTTATTTTCCGGATGGAATTTGGAAAGATCTAGAGACTCATAAGTTGATCGTTGGGAAAAAATGGATAACATATCCTGTGGAGATGACAACTTTACCCATTTTCGAGAAAACCAAAGTTTATGGAGATACGTAACATTACATAGAGGGAAAAAGTCATTCTTTTTTCGTCTCTGCTTACTGAAGAATGGGTGACGTCTTTTCAACACTGAATACTGGGTATTGAATAATGTTAATTCTTGGGAGTATATAGCCTTTATTATTGATCTCCTCTGGTTAAAAAATGTAAATACATATATGTTTACATGTATAATATGCATTCTCATGTAATGAAATGTTTTAAGTCATTGTTATAAACAACGAATTTACAGTTATTAAGTAAATATGGAAATGAATGGGAGCAATTTATTCAAATTACCTTGTTACTTTGAGTAAAACTTTGCAACAAAATGGATTTTAGTGTATAAAGTATTTTCCGATTACATTTTTTTTTTACTTTGAAAGCTTTATTTTACATTGTTTAGAATTTTTTTATAGATATATTTTTATATTTAATCAGATGCCAGTTAAAATGTAAATAACATTTAGATTTTGCAGGACAAGGCTTTAATTATTGTTACAGATATTTCCTAACTGTTATTTGCAAGTGCTTCCTGTTTACTCATTTTAAATGTTTTATCGAAATAAATGTCAAACATTCAAGTATCATGTCATCTTCATTGACTAACTCTAACACTGTACCATTAAAAATACAGTACCCGCATCGTTATTCTTTACAGGATACACGATACGATAGGATACACGCACGATACGATAGGATACACGCACGATACGATAGGATACACGCACGATAGGACAGGATACACGCACGATAGGATAAACGCAAAACACGATAAACGCAAAACACGATACACGCAAAACACGATAAACGCAAAACACGATAGACCTGATAAACGATCTTCACGATAGGATAAACGCAAAACCTGATAGGACTGTTTCAAAGTGCGGAACGGTTTCTGACAAAACGAACAGATTACTTTGTTTACTTACTGCAATATTTTAATTTAAATCCTTGCAAAGCTTCAAATCTAAATAAAGTACCTCTAATTATTACAAGAAAAAAAATTGAGATCACCGGTAATTTTACAAAAGTTGTTTATTTATATATATATTTTGTTATACAATGATTAAATGGATTATTTTGAAATGGAGACTGAATTTCTTTTTTAATTTCTAATCAAGGGTGTGAATTTACGAATATTTGTGTAAATGTTGAAATTCTCATTTTAAGGTTAAACTATGACTCGTTTAATAATGGATATTTTAACATACATGCAATTGTTGCACAAAAATCCCTTATATAATTATGTGCCGTTTCTCACGGGTACTATTATAAATTTATGAAACTATAAAAAGATCTATTATTTATGAAAAAATATATAGATACATTTGCACCTAATAAATATATATACAAGTACTAAGTTTCATGTATTTCACGGAAGAAATTTACGCAATAAATTAAATATTTGTATTTAAGGTTTCGTCAAAGGTCAACATGTCCAAAAATTTATTTTTACAATAGCCCCAAAACTGTGTGAGGTATAAAGTTAAAACTTTTACAGTTTATACATTTTTCATTGATAAACAGATAGAAAGTATCAATTGATAAGAAAAAAAAATGAAAAAAAAATATTATTTGAGAAAAAAATGCATATATTTTCAAAAAATACACCTAATTAATTACGTGCTCTCAGTGAAAACCATCATTGCAGAAACAAAATATGTTTATCGATGAAGGGCAAGTTGGACTTGGATTGCCTATGGAAAGTTGTTTTTTCCTGTTTATTTTGTCCAAATGTTAAGACTTGAAAGTGAAAGTACATTGCAAATGGCGGATTCTGTAGGGGTGTTGTCTTTATACATGTCATGCTTTCAATAACAGCCTTTCAGAGACCATTCACGTTCAACTTGCCCTTCAATGATAAGCATATATTATTTCTGCAATGATGGTTTTCACAAAAAGGACAGAACTATACAGGTGCATCTTTTAAAAATATGCACATTTTCTGATACCATTTTTCTAAAAAAATAAATCTTTTTTAAAATATTTTTTATCAAGTGATACTTTCTATCTATTAATCAATGATATATTTATACACTGGAAACGTTTTGACCGTATATCACACGTAGTTTTGGAGCTATTGTAAAAATAATCTTTTAGACATGTTGACCTTTGACGAAACCTTAATGTCTGAAGCTTACAATCTGCGGTGTAGCCAAAAATTGAAATTAAATATTAAAATCTTAGGGAAAAAATACACGTAGACGACCGGCCGAAAGAAAGGTCCAAAGAAATTGGTTTTAAAGAACTATTTAGTTCAAAAAAATTAATTTCCTGAGTAGAAATCTAAATAATCATTTATATAATGGCGCTCTGCATTAATACATGTAAACTGTGCCAACAGAATAAGAATCTGCTACAATTGCATATGTACATGTACGTTTACGCTTAGCTCTCACTTATGTACATGTACATGTAAACATTTATATCAGATACTTAAAACATCGTATTAATTAACGAACATTGAATGATAAAATACTTTTTTTTCTTTTCAGTACAAAATACAAAAATTAATAAACAAATATAAGAATGGATTGCGACGTTTTCGACTAAATAATTAAAAACCATTGCTATTGTACTGTTTCTAAAGCAAATGAATTATCAAACCTTGAAAATTATTTTAGACCTACCCGATAATCTCATATAAGGCATATTCGAAGGGCGGGATGTTGGAAGTCCGTAACCAATTAAAAATTAGATAAACATGATTTAACTAAATAGCCACAAATAATATTGACTTCTTAAAGAAAGTTATAAATGTATGGTATGAAATGGATTAATACTATAAATTGATTCGGTGCAATACATTTACTCGTCTTGCATAATGACCGCGGAATCGGACTTCTTTTTTATCATTATAGTAAAAAATACCGTAAAATACCGTAATAAAATTAGTGCGAGCAAATTGTCATAGTTTAAAATGTTAGAATTATTTCAATCTTTTCTACGATCAAAGAAATTGTTTCCTATAGAATTTATTCTGTCTGTAACCCGATGAAAACCCGGTGATCCGAAAGAAAACCCGATGATCCGTAAGTCCATGTACCATAAGTGCAGTATTTTTTTTAAACAAGTTTATTAAAAGACTTATTTACATAAACATCATGGAAAGATCGTACAAATAAAAAAATCAACGGATTGAGTTAAGAGACTTTGTTTCATTAAATTGATTTATATGAATTTTATTTAAATTCAATCAGGGAAATGATCTTTTTTTAAATCCATAAATTGTACAATTATTTAATTGATTTAGAAAAAAAATTGTTTATGATTGTAGTTCACACAAGGTATGACAGACTCCCGAAAATAGATACTGTTTGACACAAGGTGAGAGAGCAGTTCAGGTGTTGACGGTGAAGACACACGGGCCGAGCTGCCGTTTATGGGGATAGGGGAGAAGGGGGGAGGGGGTGTTGACCGCACGGAAAGGCAGTGTGCTGATTAGAGAGGTACACTGGCAAGGAAATCCTTCGATTTGACACTGATTATATTTTCAGTTTATTTCCAGGCCGAAAAGGTAAGCTGTTAAAAGTAAATGTTTTCCTGTTTATTATTTTTAGATTACCTAATGTCAGATAAAATTAATGAAAAACTTCTATTTTATAGTAACTGCCATGGTGTGATAAATCGGGTAGAGCATTTTCATGCATTGCATTTTATAATTTTGATTTTTTTTTTAAATTTAGATATAATAAGGAATTTAACTAATTAGATAGTGATCAAAATAAATTTAAAAAATTGAGCCTATACAGACAAAATCAATGTTAAAGTTGTCTTAAATGCTTCGTTATTATTTTTTTAAATTAAAATTCTAAATAAATGTGCATACATGCAGATCGGAGGCGAAAACACGTACCTAATACATGTATTATAGACGATTGATCGGAAGAAAATGAATATTGCTTTTAAAAAAGATACATTTCCCTTGCTAATTATTATTATTTTTTTGGTGGGGGGGGGGGGGGTGTTACGTATACACCGTGACTTTCCGAAAATCATCCTCTACTGTCTCTGACTAATTTAAAAAAATCTTATTAATATTTAATTTTGACCAAAAAAATCATACAGTTCGATGAATTAAAAAAAAACAGGGGATCGATTATTTCATTTTAAAAAATTAATTTTGATTCTCTGCTTGACTATGATATGATTATTTTCTTAGATTAATTTATTATTAATTATTTAATTTATTAATTATATCATTCATATATTTATTCTTTTCCTTCCACGCTTTAATATTTCTTTTAATGATGAAAAACTAAGGGATAAAACTTTCTTTTCTCTTTCTCGGTTAAAGTAATCTTATTTTAGTTAACAAAACGAAAAAGAACCTCGGTAGTTTCTTCCTGTATTAAAGATAAAAAGCGAGGGTTTCCGAAGAAACACGATAAACACAAAACATGATACACGATAGAACCTGATAAACGATCTTCACGATAAACGCAAAACACGATAAACGGAAAACACGATAGAAAACGCAAAACACGATAAACGGAAAACACGATACGATAGGATACGATAGGATACACGCACGATACGATAGGATACACGCACGATACGATAGGATACACGCACGATAGGACACGATAGATTTGTAAAGAATAACGATGCGGGTACTGTATAATTCTGTAATGTAAAAGGTGGATATAACAAACAGTTATCGTTCGAAAAAAATATCCATAAACAACGAAGAGGACATGAAACAAGAATCCCTGAAAATTTCAGAGGTGGGATCAGGTGCCTAGGAGGGGTAAGCATCCCCTGTTGACCGGCCACAACCCACTGTGAGCCATATGTGTTGATCAAATAGAAGGAACTTTGCGTAGTCAATTCAGCATAAAAACAAAGGTCTAGTTAATGGTATGGAGCCAAAATACGACCCACTGATAGGTTTTTGTTTTTGCTAAAAAGGTCAATACGACGACCATAAAATTTAAGAAAGGCTGACTATAAACGAGGCTATTGAATTCCCTGTAACATCAACTTATCAGTGAGTAGCCTGCATTGCTTAAAAATTTATCGTATTCAGAGCAAGCTCTTGAGTAGCGAATAAGTCGGTAAACATAAACACCATAATAAGGTGAAAGAAGAATTTATATTACTACATAACTTAGGAAAATTTAAAAGGTAGAACTTACGAAAATTGAAGATGTAAAAACATCTCGTTTGTCGTATAATTTATATGTTAATTGGCCTTTATCGTGTTTAGTCAGAACAACGTCCAAGTATGAAACATATGTTGCAGGGTATGTGGTGTGTTTTATTTCAAGTTCACTGGTTATTATCGAGTCAAAATACGAATAAAAACAACTATGATAATTGATAATTGAAAAAAAAGTCGTCTATAAAGCTGAATGTCGAATTGAAGGCCACGGCTAGTGTTGCCTTCTTCTTATGTAGAAGTTTGTTTGTTTTTTTAAATAAAGTTTGCTTCTTTTGAATATAAAAACAGTCTAATAATGTAGAACATTACTACCCATCGAAATTCCAACAGTTTGTTGGAAAACTTAGACTTCGAAGACTACATAATTATTGTCAATGAGGAACTCCCAACATAATTTTAATATCAATTCAGAGTACTTGTGTGTATTATCAGAGTGAATTTTAAAGATGAACAAGACTTGTAAATGGGCATACGCCACTTCGGTATTACTATCAAAGACATCAGCACCAGGGTATATTTCTCGTATTCGTTACCCCTGACTGCTTTATTGTCCAGGGAATCGGTGTGGAAAGAAGTATACAATTATTTTTTGTCGCTACCGAGTGCTGCATAGCATACATGTACGTCCGTCTACAACGGTGACGACTGATTATAGTGACCATTGACTTAGTCAGAAGCTTTATTTAGGGGTCCTCAGATATAGCGAGAATCCGAACAAAAATGGAGGACAAATTCCTTTTACAAATCGTGTTCAACTTTAACGAAGTAATTTTGCTGATGGCTAATGTGAAAATTTCCGAGTTCCGTAATTATTAAAGAAGCAGTCAGTATGGTATCAGAAAGTCTAGGTCTTAATCGTATCATGAAGAATTGTTGATTAAAGTGTACCAAACTCGAAAGTATTATGCTATGTTGACTTCTGAGAAATTTGGTGGCTTTCAAGTATTAAAAGGTTCTTCCAAATTTTTGACAGTTGCATGACCGTGTACATTTGATGAACAATCCAAATTGTATCCATGTAGGCCTTATAAAACCCTTCATGTTATGAGCTTCGAAAATATTATGGTCTACGCACTAAACTTTTCTGAAGGGGCTTAGCGAAGCACAATAGTACAACACATTTAGGCAATCGAGTTCAAGGTTAAGCATTTATATTCAGACATCAAGTTTTGAAGCCCTGTAGAAAAGCAGTGTCCACCAATCTGACATTTTTATGTTCAGCGACGACCTGGTGTAATTTTCACCAGTTCCTTATTCCGTATCAACAAAAATAGCGATAGAAAATGTCTGGGTCACCTGAACAAGTAGGCTTGTGTTTCATTTCTTTTCACAGATTTATATAGTTTGAAGATCTGTGATTGATCAATTTTGGTATCTTCAAATTTTTTCATTCTAATTAAAACCTATTTAATAACATTAAACACTAAACAGATTTACTTAAAAGAGATGGATTTGGGGTTCAAATCACCAATTGTCAGCAAAGTAGATGTTAAAAACACTTGGAAAACAAAGTCAGTCTTCATATATAAATTTATTGTACTGCAGTAGTGCAACATTGTTCAATTTCATCATTTGGCACAGCTATGAATGAATAAAGTTTATTATAATAAATATTGTATGTATAATAATGCTTGTCTATCATAAAAACGTTCAAGTAGTTTTTTTGCAGTAATATAAGCATCTTCAAATTAATGTCCTTTAATGATTCTTATTATGAATCAAACTGCACTGAAGACAAATAAAGTTTTTCAAATAATAGGTTCAAATCATGGAATGTCCTTGTTCTAGGATTACATTGCACATATGTCCTTCCTTGTGAAAAGTCTCCAACACTTTGAAAGTCCATTTCTCCTTTACATTGGTGGTGGCGGGGGTGGGGGTGGTGGGGGCGGGGGAGGTGGTGGTGGTGGTGGGGGAGGGGCACCACCTGGTGGAGGGGCGGGGGCTGGAGGGGGCGGGGCTGGAGCTGGGGGCGCCGCAGGGGCTGATGGAGGGGGCGGTCCTGTAGAATCTGAAAAAAAAAAAAAATCTGAATTTCTCCCTATCATTATATTTAAGTAGTATATTAATATAGAATGTCTATTAAATAAAAGTAGACATTCTATATTAAACTGACTTCAAATAAAGCATTTAGATATTGAAAACAAAAATCGAAGATCATGAACATGTTTGTTGATAGTCACGTGTACAAAAAAGGCAGATAAATATATAAATCAGTATTTTAATTGTAAGCAGGAAAATTTTCACAGGCTTAGGCCATATAAAATTGAAATCTTGGTTCTCAGGCCCGCGCGCATCCGTTTTGAGGTAGCCGCATTGCCGATTTTACTGTATTTTTGATAAAATAAAAAGTTGGTATTGCGGAGACCAATCCGGGAAAAAAATTCCGACCTCATTTGTTTCGTAGTTTAGTATTCAAATATCACTTCCGGTAGCCATTTGCAATGAGATTTTGGCTACTTCGTTTGAAAATACATTGAGGACATTACCTACGATGTTTACACGCTGTTAAGCGATGGATAAAGCAGAAATTTTGACCAGAAATGGAAAGTATATCTGTGATTAAAAAAATTATCTTTATGTTAAAGAAAAATCGGAAATTAAAATTAAAAAAAATACCTCCCTCATCTACTTTATTGCCAATAAAATGAAAAATAAAATGCCGCCCTCCCGCATCTGTTTTGGAGAAAACTGGCCTGAGAACCAGGAAATTAAATTTAGATAGCCTTAATCCTTTTTTTTTTGCTCATTTATCCAATAAGTTTTTGTTGAAATTAAACAGTATAAAAATTGATTCAAAATCTTATAGCTCAGTCACACTTAACCAGAACTGACATCAAACAGTTGCAAAAAATGATGTCAGTCCGCATTTCTTTACATTACTAGTACTATGATGAAAGTCTTCCCTTGATGCTTTTTGGATCTCTTGCAATCAACTCTTAAAGCATTTAAAATGGATAAAAACTGTACTTTAAGCACACATGCACCGTATAAGCAACAATCCACTAAGGGAGTGAACCATTTCAGTAATGAATGTGTACCTTATAAAATCAATGCCTATAAAGCCTGAAAAGCTGACAAATGGATTAAAAAAAATTGCAAAAAATTACACAAACACACCAACACATCTACACATGCATTTTAGGGAGGCAATAATGATATCTAAATTAAGTTCTCCACATAAAGATACCATCCAAAGTTTAAAGGTAAACATAGCTGATCTAAAATGTTATGACAAAAAGCCATTCAAAATATCTAATGCAGTTATACTTGTATAAAGTACTACATATATAATGATAAACATGTATTCAGTAACAAATATTTTGTATTAGGAGCTAGAAATTAGTTAGAGGTTAAAACTTCCATATATAACATTCTACATCACTACAAGTACATATACACAGTTATACATGAAATAAAGTATGTCGGAAAAAAGAACTCAAAGTATAATTATGTAGCAAATATATTAAATCAATACACTGCATTCAAGTTATGACGGCTGAAGTCTATCTAAGTTACAAAAAAAGTACAAAACTAAGTATAGTTGCACATGCCCTACACCTTGCATTATCTCACCTTATCCTTTCATGTAGCTACATGTAGTACAAAAATATACATTTTTATCATTTTCTGATAAGGCATAGTAAAAAATACTTATAACAACTGAAACTAATTCTTTTTACAATCAATCAGACTAAAGAAATTACTGTCAGTCCAGTATAGGAAGATATTAAAACTGATTTTCTGTTTTTATTTAGCATCATAATCTTTCTTGTAGGTAATTTGCTTGTGGGTCAGTAATGAAGGAAGAAAACAAATATTTAACATAAGCCTTACTTAATACATGTATATTTATAATTATAAAATACATTTCAGCTGATCATTACATTCAACAAAATTCTGTTTTTAAATTAATCTTGGTTAAATAGTGCTTCATATCATGGACTATTATAACGTAAATCATTGATAATCATGATGAGAAAAAAAAGAAAATGTAAATTAACATAGATTAAAGACTCAAGAGAATGTTATTACCTGCAGCTGGGGCCTCTGGAGCTTGGCTGGGGGCGGGGGTCTGGTCAGAACTGCTGCCCTGCTGTCCACCAGCTTCTGCATAATAATTAAAGGTATTAAAGACATATTTGCAATATCACTTTACATCATTATACACATATTTCAAGACAACTATAATTTTAAAGTAATATATTTATATTTCCTTTGTACTATTAATAAATGCATCATAAATTTTATATTTATCAAACCTTTGCACTTTGATTTAACCAGTATTGATGATTTCAATCATGCACCTTTTAAATTACTGGAATATTCATTTGTTATGATAATAAAAAACGTTAAATTTCCTACCCTTCTTTTCTTCATGTTCCTCCGCTGCAGTTTTATCAGCACGGAAGAATATTCTAGCACTGCTAAGTGAGTAGTTCAAAAGATCATATTCCTACAATTAAGCACATGAGAGTTAGATGTGTGTGTAATAATGAATTAATGATTAATTTAATCATATGCATGTACTGACAATAAAACTTTCTCAGTGAAAAGTTAAGATAATTATTAGAATGCCTCAAAAAAAAAAAATTGTGCATAAAAAATATTTGTTCATAAAAATAAAAGAGATGGTGCAATAATTTTTCTCTGACAAATGATTTAAATACATGTACACATGGTTAAACCTTCAATAACAGAACATAAAGATGTACAGACCTGTTGGTACTGATCCAGTCTTTTGACAGTTAAGGTGATGGTCTGTTGTGATTTCTCGTCACCTCTGCTGGCTAAGGCCTGCTTTTGTTTTTCCTTTTATACAAAGTATAACAGTCAAATTTGAAAACATATGAAAATGCATACAGTGTGAGCTTTACAGTAAAATTAAATCTTTATACTAATATGTAAAATATTCTGTTAAACTTCAAACATCTGTAGCTTTTTAAAAAAAAAATTTAACTTTAATTCAATGAGAAATGTCAACACTGCTTTGAGAATGATTTTTTTTTGTCAATGGGAACACTGCAAGCTGTAAGGGTGTGTTACTACTCACCTTCTCTGTTCTATATTTATCTCTGACAGACTGAAACCAGTGAAGTGAATCAAACTCCTGGTACTGGTCCAACAGCTTCAAGATGTAGGCCACCCCTAAAAAACATAATTAATTTGTTAACATTGCACCCACATAAAGGAAAACAATGTTAAAGAATAGTCCTAGGGGTCTTTATTTAACATCTTTTCACTTCTTACCCATAGAAAACCCATCATCTGTAAATGCTGCTCCAACTTTGTTCCTTCTGCTCATTTTTTCTTTTACACTAATGGAATGTTCAATGAAGTTCACAGTCTGTTTTAAAGAGAAAATCTTCATATTATACCTACATGCATACACAAAATTTATGTACAGTGTAAAAGTCAATCTCTACCCAGAGTTGTCGTTCCCCTCGCTACAACACCTCTGTCAACATCTAAATGCCAAGATTCTTGGCAAAACTTACATTCACCTATTGCATCATATATTATGAATGTAAAACTTCTATATTCTTCTTTAACATGTTAAATAAAAGTTTATTTATGAGAATTAGAATCAGGTATAGCTTTTTCGCCATATCCTATAAGGGATTATTTCTCGGCAGGATATTACGAACGTGGAAAATTTAAAATGCAATATCAACATGATTTTGTTTTTATTGACAAACAACTTGCAGCATTTACACATATATAGAAATGTAAATGTGTTAATCTTCTTGTGGACAATTTTAAACAACATTTGAAAAAAAATCACGTCCCTGCGCTTTCATACTACTTTTTAGACGATGACAGAGGTATGAGTGGAACGATAACTCTGGGTAGAGATCATGTAAAAGTTAGTGTAATTTCTTGGAGTTCTCCCCCTTGTATATCACTCTCTTACCAGTGGAGGTAAAATTACAAAGAAGTTCCTAAGATGCATATTCTTGGGATTCCTGAACTCTGGGGCAAACACATCCACTAGCATCTGAAGTAGAAATTGTGTCATTACTTAGAAGTTCTTTATCAATGAATTGTATATTTTTGTCAGAAAATGTATGAAGGATGAATAGTTACTTTGAAATATTCAGTTCCCTCTGCAAAATTTCTGGCTAAATTTCCAACCACGTTGTCTAAGTTTCTGAAAGAAAAGATATTTATAACATGAACATGAATACTGCATTTATCATCGTTATACAATGAATCACTACTGCTTAATGTGATTCTGATCTATCGATATAATCCCTCATCAACAAAGTTACCTTTGAAAGGAAACCTTTGCATCTGTTACTATTCAACAAAGTTTAATTATAAGAATGTAAAGTATTAATTCAATAAGCACAGCTATTTAAAGGATCCGAACTTACTTGGCAGCAGTTTGGCACTCCATAGATAAATTCTCCTCTTTACACAAATCTTCAAAGCTCACTATGTCCTCAATATCAGGAATGAATCGGATGGCATTGCTACAACAGTGGAGACCTCCAGATCGGATCATACGGATGTAACCCATGGCATTCCCTAGAGAAGAATTTTATTTATAATGTCAAAAATTTTCTTTAAAGTTCTGATTGATTCAGAAAGAAAAGTTACTGATTTCTTCTTTATTTCAGAAATTTATGTTTTTAAAACTTTAATTTTGAACTTCATATCATCTTGCCTATTTGAGATATAAGGGTTCTGAACTGATCCAGATAACTTTCTCCATCTGGAGTCAAGCCAAGATTCTTGATGTTTTTGTTGAACTTATCAGCTCTCTCCACAGGATACTACAAAACAGATTAAAATATTTCAAGTTTCCCAAAGATATATATTTCATTTCTGTTAAAATTCCATGATCAATCTTTTTATTCAAATACTGTGAAATCACTAATTTTCGTGGGGGTTTCATTTTTGTTGTTTTCTTGGTATGAAGAGACCCACGAATTCATGTCCACCACGAAGTCTAAATTTTCATATGCACAACTACTAAAAAGTTCTTCATCCACGAAATCATATCCCCACGAACCAACATTTATTCCTTCAACCACGAAAAATTGACCCCACGAAAATATGTGATTTTACAGTATATGTTTGTTTATTCTATGTGTTCCACATCATCTCTTCAGCCTTCATATTGTGGAGAAATTTTGTTATTTTTTGCATCCCAAATGGCTTCATTAAAAGTTAAGCACTATTTACCTTTTGATCAGTTTGCATGTGATTTTCCTTGAAGAATTTCCAGTCCTATATAAAAGAGAACCATATTTTATGTAAACACATGAAAGCCATGATAGAACTTTATATTTTATCAATACCGTATAAGTAGAATTTTTAGCAAGGATTTAATTTTGGCATTATAAGCGAGGGTGCTGACATCGCTAAAATTGCATATCGATAAAAATTAATTGCCTATTATTTGTAATTATAGCTTCTATAGTTAGCATTTTAAAATCGCTAAAATTACCTCTCGCTGAAAATAAAATACCAGATTTTAGGTAGAGATTGCTAAATTTGCGTCTTGCTAAAATTTCCATTATAAGGTATTAATAACGAAATGCAATATGTAATTCAATCAGCACTCCACATCTCCTTAAATAATGCATTTTTTGATAACATGTAATATCATGACAATGTCAGTACTCTACCTTTATGAGCTTTGACTTGATGTGCTCATCATAGAGAAACTGTGAGAATACATAGAACTTCTTCCTCAGGAACTGATAGGTAAAGTTGACCTACATGAAAAAAAATGAAATTTAATACAGGTTAACATATAAAATTATTCTAATAAACTTGCTAAATTTCCATATGATCAGTTTTAAGATGAAGACAAATTTCAAATTTTTTTTTCCTAGAGAAAACTTACTGTGGTGTTCATGATACCAGTTCCATGGGTCCTGATGGAGTTAGCAATATGTCGGATGTTGATTGTGTTCAGATGCTTATTATTGCTTGACCTCTCCACAAAAATCTGTTATACAGTGTAAAATGTAACATTGTTAGCTTTATTGCTTAATTTATTTGTATATTTAAGATCATAGAAATATTTTTTTAAAAAATTAGGATCCACGTAAATGTAGCTCTAATGAAATCATGTGTTTGTGGCAGGTCTTAAATTATTATCTGATGAAAACACGTTTTAGTTTTTTTCACAATTACTCAGGTACTTATCGTATGTCTACTTAAAACTAGATGCTCATGGTTCTTTGCTTTTTTTATCATTATATATGATAACTGAGCTGTTCAGAATTCTTACTTGGTTATTTAGGTTGTACATATATCTCGACACAAACACATGGATGTTACGCATGATCTCTAATACATCCAATCCCTGCCAATTAAACAATGCATAAAGTATATCAAACAACCCTTATTCATTCTGTGATGAAATAGGATAAACACATAAAAAATCCTAACAAAAATTATGCATACTAATGATTTCAAGATATATTTAAAATTGATGTCATTTTTTTGTGATCATACATTTAAAAAGTACAGTACATTTTTCATTAAAAAAAATCTTTAAATCCAGATGAATTAAACATGTAGAAAAAGATTATAAAAAGTTTTTAATTTATGATGAGATTTCTGGGGTACCTGTTCCAGAGTCTGACTGGGTAGATGGGATTCTAACAGACTTAAGCAGTACTTCTGTTGGGCCATGTTCTTCATCTCTCCATATGTCTTCCAGTCATGGAGAGCTACTGTTGTTAGGTTGTAGAAGGTCTTGTTCAGGTAATGTTCTACATAAGCTAAAAGAGAACAAAATAAATGAAACTTTTTCAGGTGAACATTATTTTCACTTCTAGTATATGTGTAACCCCCTCCCTCCACACACACACACCCACACAAGCATATAGATATACATGAAACTATACCATCACTGGTGAATACCTTTTAAGAATAAGATAATCATTGATTTTAACCCATCTTCAATGACAGTAAATTTGTAACTATTAAAGGTAAAAACAGTATGCATGACTTCATTTTCCTGCAAATGAATCATTTTTCTGGTTGCCATTTACATGTACATGTTTTTCCTTATGGATAATTTCCTTTACTAGACATTTCTGAATAACCTATATTCAACTGAAATGTTGATGTTTTGAATATATTAACCACTGAACTGTTGATATTTCTAATACCTTTGATATTGATCAGTCTATCGAACAATCTGATTGGTCGGACTTTGAGGAGGTGTGACAGATCCTTCAGACCCACTTTAAATGGATTTCTGTCGTCCAGCTGTAGGTGTGTGTGTATCTGTAGACGTAGGTCTGTCTCTATGGACTGACATAGGGGATCCAACAGGTGCTGAAAGGAAAGAATAAATCCAGTAGATAATAAATTACAAACTAAATAAAAAAAAATTATTTTCAAACTAAATGTGACAAATGTTGCTTGTACCAAACCATGACTCCTTAATGTTTAAGTATGCATCACATTAAGCAGTAATCAAGATTTTCGATTTAGCAAAATTTGTTGCGGTAACTTTTTTTTTTGGATGGAGTGAAGTCATGTAAAAAGTGCTTTAAATTTGACTTATTTGAACGAAAAGTTTTTTTTTTTTGCAAGTATTTAAAATTTGACATTCTCAGACAATGTACCTCCTTGAAATATCCATAAACTTCTCTGTCATAGGCATTCATTAGTTCCCTTGGTGATGTCATGTGACGAACTGCAGCCATTCTAGGAACACAGTCTCTCAAGGCACCAAACATGTACTGAAAAACAGCTTAATTCTTATCATACACAATAATGATTTGGATAAAAATGAGAGAGCTATACATACATATCTAGAAGTAAATTTTGAAATTAATAAGCAACTTTAATACAATCATTTGGGAAATACTGTAAATCACTTTTTATTTGCGAGAACTTTAGTTTAGCGTAATTACGCGAGACAATGACTTTGCGAAAATTTCATTCTCAGGTATAAAGGATTCCTTACGATTAAATACAGGAGTAACATCAATTTGTAAAAATTATGCCTTGCTAATAAAGAGTCAACGACTATCTCGCGAAAAAGTGCAGTTGCAAAAATTTAGCAATCTACAACAGATGTATATTTGCTGTTATGAAATCAATATTAAACTGAATGATAATGTAAATGACAAATCAAAATTTAACATGTTGCAGTTACAGGTAACAGCTTTGTACTCACATGTATTCTGTGGGTGTCTGTGACATTTTCACACATGTCCGTGAGGTAGTTGGGGAGGATAACTCGATGCCAGTAAAAGAATGTACAGTCACAGGCCTGTCTGACTCTGTAATAATTCACACAATGGTCAAACGAAATGTTATTACAAGCAGAAAATAATGTAACAGGCAAATCACACATAGGGGGTGACAAAAATGCATTGAATCCAGAAATAATGAGTTCTTTCAGCCATTGAGCAAGGACATTTTAGTTTACTACATTTTTATGATTTTTATTTATTCAAAAAATTAATTTCTTGTGCTTTCTTTAATAAATCTTTGTCAAATGTACTCCCATTTCAAGTCAATTTTTTCATATGTATTCTGCTCATTAAATTTATAATTAAAAAACAAAACCCAGAATAATTACTTCTCCCTAAGGTCACAGATAACTTCCATCTTCTTCATTGTTGCCAACAAATTTTGTAACTCATCATCTTTAAATGTTTTCTGTACAAAAAAAAAAATTCTTTAAATTTCCCTTTCATTTCCTTAAACTTTAGATCTCAAAACATTGTATCAAGAGACAGATTTTACTTCTGCTTTTCTTAATATTCATACCATTTTTGTGCCTAAAGCCAAGGCTAGATGTGTGATCAAACGTCTCTCTTTGGTACCTAAATAAAGATAAAATTTCACAAAGTTGAATCAAATGCATTTAAAAATATTTACTTGATGTGAAATACAATAATCATACAAACAAAGAGAGAAAACGGGGGAAAAGAAATCTCATTCTAAGGTAATTAAGAGAAACAGTGTAATAGGATAATACAGTTGATGTTTGGCATAGACCAACATCAATATCTTGAATACTTTGTTATACAGGGAAATTAAAGTCCCCCAACTTCGCCCCTTGATGCCCTCTAATTGATTGGGTGAATTTAAAACAGGATGAATTCAAATTACACTTCATAATTTCTTAAACAGAACTATAACTGGGTGAATTTAAAACGGGGCAAAATTGTTCACAAGTTCAAAAGGGCGAAAATAACACAGGGCGAAAATAACCCTGTATACAGTATACTGATGTTAAATTAAAGTCCTAATTAACTTTAACCTTGATGGTATAATTGTATTTGAGTCCTAATTACCTGGTCCATTCAATGCGGTCTCGGCTAGAACCAGGGCAGATAAAACGTCAAGTCGCCTCTCACTGTATCTCTTGTCTGAGGTTATCCTCTTCTGTTATACAGAAAGGAAAAAGGTACACTAAGATTTCATTAGTACACTGTACAATCATTGATATGGCAAATTTATAAATATAGCCAATTTTTTTTTTGGAAAGCACCTAATCTACTAATGTAAGGTGTGAACGTACCTTGGCCACACCAATACTACTGAGGCAGATGAAGCTAAGATGCTGTACAATATGATTCACTGACTCTGCAATCAACATTGTTCTCCCATGGAAGGTGTGTTCTATAGCCTGCAAGAGGTAATTACATGTATACAAAATTCTGAATTTCTGAATCAATATAAACATTTTCTACTTATAAGCCATTTACTGTGTATACTATAATCTCTAAACATACATTGCTTTAAAAATAAACATATAGTACATGTACATGAAAATGTTCGTTAGACAACATGTCGAATACAATGTTTTAATTCTATAAAAGAATATTTGCAAAAAGTGTATCCATCATAGTATGAAATCAACTGTGTAATTTTCTTTAATAATTCATATTTCAATTTATCATATTTATACCTCTATATCTTTTACTTTAAAAATGATGATATTTAAGTAACGTGAATTTACTACGGGTTATTACCTTGAGTAGCTCAATGAGTCGACACAGTGAGAGAAGGCACGACTTGGTCATCGGTTTAGACATTGCGACATGTAGGTTCATAGTTGTTCTCACCAGGTGACTGATGTTATAAGCATGGAGTACTCCCTACAACATAAATCAGCTGTTACAAATTCAAGTCTAAAAAACAAGTCATCATGCACACAGTATTATCAGGACTGATGGTGGAATTAATTATTTTTTTAAAGAGCAAGAGCCATGTTTTTTGATCTTCAGAAATAGGCCTTTCATTATGTTTTGGCATATTTTGGATCAGAGGCTGTGCTCTATATGAAATATTGAAAAAACGCTTCAACTTTAGGTCATTTTCAAAGGAATTTACAGGATATGAGGAAAATGTTTATTACGTCATAATGCATTGACTAGATGTAACGTCACAATAAATTGGCAGTGGTCACCAACAGTCCAAGTGATAAATACAGCATTTGCAACCTAAACTGAGCAGTTTTGAATTTTGAGAAATTCTCAGGGCCAAATAAGGCACAAAGTGGCTCTACCTCTTTTCATGAAGAAAAAAAAAACAATTACAGCTTACTCCACTTATATTGAACTCGCTTATTTTGAAATTCCGCTTATTTTGGGGCCCGTTTTTGCCTCTCATATTCTTTGCATTAAAATAATGGTTATATTGAAATTGGATATATTGAAATTTTGCTTATATTGAAAGAGCACAGGTGATAATGAGTTGTTTTCATAACGGTTATATTCCTCCATCTGTCGTTACGGTTGGTGATAGTAATTATGCCTGATTGACCAATTGATATACAAAGGTGTGAATAATTAAGTTTTTATCTTATGTGTTTTTACACTGCATGCTATTCCGAAATAAAATTCTTCACTGTTAAATCACGTATATAATACGGAATTGTCAAAGACATGACATACACATCTAGAAAAAAAAAACATAACTTTGAAATTAAATATATACATAATGACATGATAATTTCAAAATTAACCCATGTACACTTATGATGAAATACAAACGGCGTTCAGCAGTACTTAACCGTTTAAGTCCGGTGAATTTTCTCCAAAACGTAAATAAATGCGATCGTGGAATAATAATGAGGTTGATGATTGTCTTTTCAATGAAACAGAAATAAAAGAAAATATTTTAACATTCAAGGACTCATATTCTATGTAATCTGTTCACTGTAATAGATGAACGATGACAAAATTAATTTGTTCGGGTTTGTTCTTCTTTATTTTTGATTGGGATTGAACTTGTAAAAATCGATTTCGTTTAATAATACGGATAAAAAATTTGCATGGTCCCCTGAATTTCAATATATCCGGAGTAGGCTGTATTACTAAAATACCAAATATGGTATCTTTGCACATTGTATGTAGCGATTATCAAATAGATAGCATTTTCAGTACTTATTACATGTACTCTATTTATGTAAAACTTATTGTATTGTTGAAAGAACTGGAAGTCCCAACCACTTATTCTAAAAGTATTCAACCTTGATATCTTCAATATTTGATTCTCTAGAAGTTTTTTTTTCACAGTCCCTTCAAGTTCAAGATACCAAGATTTGACTGTATAACAAATGTACATGTACCTGTATGAAGAGAACACATCTGTTATTAAGGTCCTCCATGATTTACAACAAATTTCTACCATAGGCCAAACGTGGTGTAAATATGTAAGATTTTTGAGAATTGTCAAAGATATACATTATACAGTAAATATGTAATATTCATATAATTTAAATTATGAACCCCAAATTTCTCATTGTGATGAATAATATTAAATTCCCAATCAATTTCTTTTAAAAATCCTATTAAATCTTTGGAGGAAAGGTAGATCAAAGGTTAAAAAGAACACCAATAAAATCATATTTAAAAAATTTAAAATTCTTTCTACTGCTTTACCATGTGTATTCTACATGTATGTACCATCAAATAATAAATTTTCAATAATTAACAAATAAACAAGCTAGTACTAATCAAGTAAATTGACTATAGCAATTTCATTTACATTTAGAAAAAATCTTCAGGCAGCTTTTTATCCTTTATAAATAATGAATGAATTTTTGGGTCTTTTGATGTTGACAGAACAAGTAGAACAAGAACCAAAAATGATTAACAACAAAGATACATAATACTGAATATATAAGATTTTTTTAAGATATACATTGTACATGTATAACCAATTATGAACCCAAAACATCTGTGGTGATATTAAAACACTCTTGAATGTGTCACACATGCATAAATCCATTAACACTTTTGATAGAAACTACAGTCAGTAATAAAAGTTGAATTAGAAATGATTATTATTACAGTGTATGCTGAAATTAAATGCATGTACTGGGGTATTTCACTCAGGAGAAATACTGTATGTAATAATACTTTAAAAGGGAGCTTTTATTTTTAATTTTATGGATTTTGCATGGATAACAATGCAATAAATATAATACTTGTTTATGATTATGCCAATAAACCATTGATTACTCAGTAATTGCACTTATTTTTTTAGAATATTTCAATTTAAGTACACATACAGTTATCTATAGAGTCATATTAAACTTAATTTGCCTGTGTCCTTGAAATTTATTCTAACGATTATTGGTCCCTCATCAGTATTTACATGTAGGTTTCAAAATGTTCATTGTCAGAAGACTTTATCAAATCATTCTGAATTTTTTGGAATACGAATGATAAAATGAATTTACTTGAAAATTTGTTATTATGCCTTAAAGAGAAAACGAGATGATCTATCATACATATATGTACAGACCTGGTGCTAATAAACCCACAACAAGCTAACTACACTACATGTAGTGATGTTATTTATCAGATATGAAATTAGAAACACCAAAAGTTAGAGAACTGATTAAGTGATACACAACAGCCATATACAAACCTGCTCCTGGTACGGCAATTAGAAAAAAGTAATTCATATTTTTTTAAGTTCACATGTAAATATTTGCAGAAAATTCTTGTCATCATTATCATGACATTTTTAATTCAGTAAACATACATTCTTACAACCAAATTATCTACAAGGTTTAGTCACTTTATGATTTTTAGAATGTGGAATTAGAAGTACAGTAGATTCCTTTTGTTATGCAAGTACTAAATATCACAGAATGACTACCAGACATCAAATTGCAAATTTAAAACATTATCAATTGTGAGTGGGCTGTTCATCAACAGAGATTTTAATGAATTTCAACAACATTAAGCAAGTAATTTTTTTTGCAAGCTGTGCTTCTCAAGAAATACCACAAAAATTTAAAATTCCTCACATGTATATCCAGAAATCTACAGTACTAATTTTTTCAAGACAAAATGTGTTTCTATCCTATCTCTCTATTTCTTCTTTCATTCTCTATCTCTCTCTCTTACTTTGTAAGCATCTGTTGTCTCTGGGTCAGCCATGATGTCCTTGTGGTGGTCACTGCGTCCTTGGCCTTCCTGTCCAACAGTTTGTCCACCTGGGGCATCTTACTTAACAGGAACTCAGTCGGGAACCACACTATGTTACCAATCAGGTGTATAGCTGGAATCTAGGATATCAGGACGAATTCAATTTACAGTGACTTTGGTAATTTTGAAAACTACACAGAGAAACCTGTTTAATCCAGCATGCACTAAGAGATAAAATCTTGTTCTCATATACAAATTCAATTTACACTTCATCTTGAGTAACTATAGGGTAATTAAAAAAAATTATAAACTTGTTCAAACCTTTTTATGGACATCCCATATGTTTTTGAAGACTTTTTTGTCAATGACTCTGAATATCTGGAAATGTAAGATGTATAAACCACAGAGTCCTACAAACTTATATCTCTGGTCCATCTCATTAGCTTCTCCTGAAATTAGAAAAGTATAGAGGTCAATCTATTATTCATAATTGTCATTATTCATTGCAATTTATTTCCTTTTTAATTTCAGGATATACTGCTAGAGCATCAGTATTTGTTGGGGACCAATATGCGTTGATTTTGTGGGTCAACCTTTTCCGATGAATTTACATCCCCATGAACAATTATTTTGTCAAAATATTTATTCATTGAAACATTTATTCATTAAAATATTTTTGTGCAATTATGCAAGACAATGTGCTTACAAAAATATCATTCTTGATTTATTAAATATGCTAAAGATTATATAGAACAGTAACCACAATTCATGAAAATCTTGCCCTGCTAATAAAGAGTTTATGTCCATCGAGAAAAATAAGGTTTCATGAAAATTCAGTGAGCTACTGTATTTCCATATCAAGAACAACATAAATACGAGACAACATACCTATTCTGGCTTCCAGCTCTGCTAAGTAATCTTTGATGCTGACGGCAAACTCCTCGGCCAGGTTTGGGTTTTTACTGACATACACTGTGGGTGTATCAAAGGGCTGCTCCACACAATCCTAAATTATGAAAATTAAATTAAAAACAATTGTAAACTTCATAAGGCATTTAAAAATTGTCTAGAAAAAATCATTAGGGTAAAAGATTAAGGAGAGACAACTATTAACATTTGAAAACTTAAACTTTGTACATGCATTTTTATGACTTAAATTGAACAACTAATTTTAAATCAGTAATTCCTTTACCCGAGTTACTTTATATTCACCTGAAATATTCTCCCATCCAGTAACTGACCCTCTAGCTTCATGATCAATTTCTCAAATGGTCGAATCTTCTCTGGAGCAATTCCAAACTTCCCTGGATCATGGTGGACAGATTTCAGCATTCTACAAATGGTTATACAGTTACATAAAGTTGAAAATCACTGCTACATACCCACTTTATTTTCTCAGATTTATAGCATTCCCTGCTTCCAAGAAAAAAAAAATATTGTAGATAAACTTATTTAAGGTACTTGGTACTTAGGAGGATGAAGAATGAGCGAGATGAAATTTTTTTGAAACCTGCTTACAGCAGACAGATGTATTTTATCTTTACCAATAAAAAGATATCAAAAAACAAAACTTTGGCAAGCGGACAGTTTCATCTAATTAAGCCAAAAAAAGTCTCAAATATAAGTGTATTTACAGCAGTCTGGTTAAAATAAAACCTTCACTAGCTTCTTTTTATTTTGATTGTCATGTGACAAACAAAATACAAAAGAGCTAGTGAAGGTTTGATTTTAATCAGACTGTATGTAGAGTATCCTCAAAGCTGTCTGGCCCCTCACCTTTTATACAGGGTCCAGTGATCTCTCAGTGTGGCCTGATTCTCGATGATTTCATCCAGTGTAATCAACACCCCCAGCAGATCTCCTAGGTGTTCATATACCACCTGAAAGTGGACATCACTCACATCTAACAGCTTAGGACCATTCCTACAAACACAAAAATATTAAATAAATTATATTAAAAAGCTTTTGATCTGGTTCAGAATAACTTGACATTCATGAAAGTGTTTCATGCTTATTTTTTTTTATTGTATGACAAGTAAAACCTTCGTGAGATTAATAATAAACAAAAATGGCATATGCCATATATAATTATACATGTACTTGATAATGAAACCTATTACTTGAGCACAAAATCCAACTAAGTAAGATTTTATTTCAATTTTTTTTATATTAAGAAATGTTTACAGGTATAAAGATGAAAAGCAGACTTTGACTTGACATTTTTTCTTTTGGAGATGTAAACTGTCAACTGACCTTTCTCAATGAAAAGGTGTAAATAGGAAAAACCTCCTGTCCAATTCATTCAATTGAATATAGTATAGACAATTGTTATACTTTGAAATGCCTGAATCTAGCTTTACCTTACTACAGAAAACAGACAGGCAAACTGCTGAACGACATTCTTCACAACTTCATTGGTTCTGTTTACAAAGCAGGAAAGCTCCTATAAAATTAATGAAGATGAAAATGATGTAGTGGATTATTTTGATTTTTTTTCTAAAATAAGTTTGAAGATAACAATAATCAAATGCAAGTTGACTTATTGGTAGATTGTATTAGCTGAAAAGGTCATTGCATTCACCACAGAATTTGCAAATGTTAACTTTAAATAAAAATGTTTTATACATGATTGTATATCTTGGTTTCATCTTCTGTTTTGTCCATATCAATGTCTCATTTTAGAAATACTCAGGGAAGTTTTCAAGTGAGTTTTACTGTAAGAAATCATTGGCAATTAAAAATAACATAGTCATTTTTTTTTTAATACCTGGATTAACGGCATGATTCGCCCTATCTGCACTTGTGCTTCGCCCTCAGCAAGACCTTTCTCAGGTTCTGATTAGAAAGAGAAATATCAAGTCAAAAATCTGGCAGACACATGATACATGTACATGTTACCAGGTATTAGAGTAGTATATATATCATTGGATGTAATATTTATTCAATTTTAGTTTATCAAAAAGGCGTGTGAGAATATGCATGCAAGTCAAGATAACATATTTGTTTAGTGGTTTGTTTGCCAATGGGTTTCTTTTTTTAATTCAAAGCTGATATGTTAATTTGTTGGTCTTCAGAATGCTGTAATGATGCAATGTACCTCCTTCTCCATAAAAGATAAGTGCATTGAAGAACTTATTCTCTGCCTCATGCTTCAGGGCACTCATCTCCGAGCACAGGGCCGCCAGAACTGTGATGATTTTGTTAAAAATCTTGTTGTCTGTCCTTATTAACTGCAGCAGATTTGTCTGTTCATATGGCAAAAGCTGAAATGATATACAGATACAATTGTATGAAGATTTAGAAAATGTGTGTACTTTCATGAAAACAAATCTGAGCTTCTTTAACAAATTATTTTACCAACCCCCTCCCTTCATGATAATTTAGAAAATGTGTGAACTTTCATGAAAACAAATCTGAGCTTCTTCAACAAATTATTTTACCAACCCCCCCCCCCCCTTTCATAATAAGGGTGTAGCATAATTAACACTGGATAAATTTCAGAAAATGGCCCTAATCCTTCCAGCACTAACTATAAACACCCTAAAAGGTTACTCCTACAAGTAAGAGCCTCATTTAATATTCCTATATAGGCTCCTTATATACTTCAGTTATCATGGTTATGATAAACAAAATCTAAAGTACGTATCTTGCCATAAACCTCTAACATACTGGGGTCCCTATATGGTTAACCCTTCACTTCACTTTTATTTAGTTAGCAGAACATGTGGTCAAGTCTTAAATTTATTTTTAAATTTAAAATTAAGAAAAATTGAGTTTCTGACAGTTGTGCATAGGTTTAACATGTTCAAGAAACTTTCTATCCACCCTTAGCTTATCTGTTACAACAGGAACAGTGAAAATGAAAAGAACCTGACAAAGATTTATACAACCTTTGACCTTTACCTGGAGAGCTATAGGATCCAGAGTAAAGTCCCAGGATTCTCCAATGGAGTCGTCCAATGCATCCTCAATCTCTCTCAGCTGTGTGGCATACTCTTCCATAAACAGTCCATATTTCTTCAACTGCAGCTCTCCAACTATTTCTGTAGGTATTGAATATGATTTTTATTTTTATTAACTGGTAAGCAGATCAAATGCTGATTCAATAAATATATTAAAACTCTTTCACCCATTGTAATGATGGCAGTGTTTTCCCTTTATTTCAAAATAAAGGGTTAGAGATCAGCTAGGATGTAACAGGTTAGGAGATGATGTTTATTAACAAAATCTCTGTGGACCTTACAACAAATTTTTATTTTAAAGCAACATTTTTGTCAATTGAAGTGGTCACTTTGGCCAGTTGCCGGTTCTTAGGGAAAACACTGCATGGGCGTTTAAAGCAAATTGAAAGTGGGGGGGGGGGGAGGGGGACTAACCCAACAAAAAGAGCTAAACCCAAATATTAATTAAATGCCTATATTATGTCTATCTTTGCAAAACAAAGTGGAGGGCTAATCCCCCTACACTTCCCCCACCTCCCCCGCACTGGTTCTGATGCCTTTGGTAATACATGTATACAGTGTGCAATATACATGGGTTCAATTTTCTAAACACTAGGCATGCAGAAAATAATGATAAATGTTCACGCAAAGTTATTCCCCTTGGTCTAGTCGAGTTGTTCCATGCACTTTGACTTTCAGTTTCAGAGAAAAATATTCAAGTCTGACTACTCAGGTAGTATATAATCGGTACAATGTCATTAAACTGCTATTGTCCTACGGACCCAATGAGAGTTTGTCCCCAGATATGGTTATAGATGACAGAGAAACATGCTTTACCTATATACAGAATAATCCCACTCAAACTAACAGTGGGAGTAGAGGGCAATAAACATATGATAAATGGATCCCTGTAGAATATAGAGAAAAAAAAGTCATTAGCGAGCACTTGTATCGAGAACACTTGAAAATGATATTTTTTCTCCTACGATTATCGACATTGTTTAGAAACACTTACTTGTAGAACCATCATCAAATTTATCGAACTCCCAATTTCCATCGGTCACCGCCATCTTGCTGTAAAATACATGTATCACATGATCAAACTATAAATAGACAATACATATAAGTTACATACTTACTTGCATTATTTATCTGTACCGCGTTAGTTTGATTTTAAGTAAGATCCGATGTGGTCTAGTGGTTAGGATTTCTGGTTTTCACCCAGACGGCCCGGGTTCGATTCCCGGCATCGGAACGTTATTTTTTCTCTCGGATGCCCAATATCTTTTCTCTACCTTTGTTTTTTTTCTCTCTCTATTTTCTCTACATATCTGTAGCTCTAAAGATTTTTCTTTCATTTTTTTTTCTATGAAAATTAACAAAGCATGTTCATCTTCAAAACCCAAAACATATTTGTCAAACATTAATTAGAAAAATAAGAATATACTTTAAGATCTTTCCATCTTTTTCAAAGTACAAAAACTGCATTTATTTTTTATTTAAAATTGTTATTATTTATAACAATTAGACTATTGCTGAAAATGAATAGGTTCCATATTATATATAAGATATACATCTAAGAGATATACATAAGCTAAAATATACTTGGTACAGCTCCATTAATTTTCTTATTACCAATATCGAGGGTATTCGTGATTTAACTTCAGTCAAAATGTACAAATTCAAACGTGAACTTAAAGATTGTTTATTTAGATATTATATACAAGAGTGGAATTCTCAACTTAAATCACACTCTGATAAAAAGCTGAGATGCTATAGCACTTTTAAACAAAATTTTGGTCAAGAAAAGTATCTTAATTTAATTAAGAATTTTGAGCAGAGGAGAAGTTTTACTCGTTTTCGCATATCAGCTCACAGACTTAATATTGAAAGGGGTCGATATATAGGTATTCCTAGAGAAGAAAGACACTGCAATAGATGCAATAACAAAACAGTTGATGATGAGAAACATTTTCTCTTTTCATGTAATCACATTAAGGATGAAAGAAAAGTCTTGTATGAATTAATAAACAATTCCTGTAAGAATTTCCACAACTTGGACAGTGAAAATAAGTTAAATTGGCTCATGACTAATGAGGATGTGCAAATACTGATTCAAGTCAGTAAAATGATTATGAGAGCTGAAGTATGAAAAGTATTAGTAAACCTGGTTTGTTTTTTTTTGTTTTTTTGTTTTGTTTTGTTTTTTTTTTTGTTTTTTTTTTTGTTTTGTTTTTTAAATTTAATGTGTCCCCTCATTCCCTTCTTAAATGTACAGAATAAGTCAGAATGGGTGTCTTGAATACTTAGAGTACGGGTTTGCCAGTATAATCGGCTGTGCAGAGGCATCGTCCCCTGGTACCCTCTGTATCCAAGTTACCTTTTCTTTACATTAATTGTATGCTACCTTCAAGATCACAGCTTTACATTTATACAGGATAGTACCATTTGTTTATATATATATACATATATTTGTGTGTAAATTATTTTTTTTGTATGCATGGATATGTGTAACAATAAGTGTATGTTTATAATATATACTATACATACATATATTTGTATATAAATTATTATTTTTGTATGCATGGATTTGTGTAACAGTAAGTGTGTGTTTGTGTATGTGGGTATGCATATGTCAAATATCCATTGAACTAACTCCAAGAGATTAGTCTGCATTAAGTTTCTAATTATATGCTAAGTACATATTAATTGAAATTACTATTTCTGTTAATACCTAAATGATTTTTTTTTTTTTGAATGACCATCTTCAATACTTAGGGTACAGGTTTGCCAGACTGGCTGTGTAGAGGTATCATCCCCTGGTGCCCTTTGTATTCAAGATGCACTAGTTTTATATTAGAGTACTGCCATTACTACAAGATTTTTTTTTTAATTTACCTTATATCTATCATTTTTATTTAATTGTGTTTTCTTTTATCATTCTATGGTTTCTATGCTTTTGATCCAGTGTGGTGATGCACTTCTCAATGTCAAACAATCACAAGTCATGTTACATTATCCTTAATATAGAATTGTAATCAATGTTATCATTTTGTAATAATTGTTCATGCCCCCTGTGGGCCCTTGATTGGTGAATAAACATATATATATTAACATAGTCATTAAAACATTGTACATTTTTGTAAACAGTGCTATAAAAATTAATTGTGCAAACATTGGTTCAAATGCATAATTCAGATTCTGAAAGTTCCGAAATACTTTGCTGCTACTATATTATGAGGTATTTTAGAATTTTGATTATCTGGGGAAAAAAAATTAACATAAGAACATGAAGAAGTACCGTCAAGAATATTGCCTGAATGAAAATATCTTGGAAGGAGTTATTGCCCTTGTCAGCTTTTTTAAAGATGGATTAAATAAACATGATAAAGAAAATACACATTTTTAAAAATTCTTTTACAAAACAATGTTTATCAATACACCTATTGACGAGAATTCTTGCAAAAGATATAATTCTATTTGGTTTGAATTTGAATTAATAACAGATTTTGCAAAAGAAAAAAAAAGTATGACATCACAGATCGAAGCCATTCGCCAAACTCCGCCCATCGCGCTATGGGAGATAACTCCTATGATGCTCCGACATCATCAACATAGCGTGTAACTCAGTATAAGTCGACGCCGGTTGACTTGTCCGAAGTTCCTGATGATTTTGCTGCAAAATATTTGCCATACGAACCCACTTTGAGACAAAACAAAGGGCAAATTCTTTTACAAAAGCTTTCATATATTTCATTCACTTAAAATATTAAAAAAATGATTCCGTATTATCCCTTTCTGGGAAAGTTTATCGAAGCATGATAAAGTCTGAGTTCCCTCATACTGTAAACATCCATGTCGACGAAAAGACAGAAGCACATTGCGACTGCAAATGTGGGTGCATGTAAAAGGTAATACTTTTATTAAATCAGCAATAATATACAAAACCCATACGACATTGCCAAGACATGCTTTTAGTTCCTGTCTATAAGGGGACGATCATTTGATTCTGAAGGGGGGTGTCTGGCTGATAAAGGAGTTGAATGTTGAATCAGTTTTGGAAATAAATGATATTTCCTCAAATGGAAGAAAATAAATAATATGCACACACCACCTCCAGAATAATCTTGGGTTGTCGACAGCGTTCCCCCCCTTTTTTTTTTTGGCTTGTTAGACTTTTTCAGTGAAGCGGAGAATAAATAATATCCCATTGGAAATAAATAATCCGTCCTTCACCGACATGACAATAAATAATCTGACTCTGTCTCTGAAAAAAAAAAAAAACGCCAGCCCCTCTCCCCTTCCCGAATCAAATGGTCGTTCCATAAATCTCTCAGACTCCGATAATATCAACTCTGGAAAAAATTTTCTTCTTTACCTTTAAGTTCTGGTGGAAAATGTGCACTTTTAAGCAATACTAGATAGTAGCGCATGAAGATTTTGAATATTTTTGGTCAGATATATATTATGTATACAAATCTAATATACAAAGTTCGTGTTTTTCTGGGACAACCCTCATATAACAAAGTCGGACTAATTCGTTACAGATACACCATATCGATTATAATACCGGTAATGACAATATATGTCTTTATATAAAAAATGAAGTTATTAAATAATTTCGATATTTTGCCAATACATGATGGTGTTCTTAATTAATTTGATAAAGCTAGTAATAAGTGGGGGGGGGGGGGGGGTTAATTAAAAAATAATTTTTAGCGATAAAATAGAATCATTTTTAATGGGTAGATTAATTCGAATTTTTTTTTTTAAAAAGTGAAAAATATTAAAAAGTTTATAAACTTAATCCTGCATATGTAATAATAACTGGTTATAAAAACCGGTAACTTTCAGACACGAGTCAACACGATAAATGTGAAATTAAAAACTCAAAAAGCGTATAGTTCTCTTTTAAAATGTGTATGTATTTTGACAATTATTTTGATGGTAAAACATGCACATACGTAGAAGTGTTACGGACTGATTAAGCATAATTATCTATCATATATAGATATGTACATGTATTCTATTATTCATATTTTTAACGCAAAGACAGTCTGTCAAATGAATCTCTATACCGTGTATACTGTGCATGGATTTATACAGGGTTTTTTTGTGTGTGCATCAAACTAAGAAAGTATACATGTATAAACATAACAAACAAGTAAACGAGTTTTATTTCATTAGCTGACCAAAATATTTAGAAGTCCCAAAACGAATAAACCCAAGTCCCGAAATGTGTTGTCAGGTCTCGAAACGTCGGCGTCCTAAAGCATGGCGTTCCCGAAACATCCATAATTCCCTTTCGGGATACCTGTCATGGGCATTGAACGTTCCCCAACTGCATATTTTTTTAACCATCACAGACTTATTTGTTCAATTTGTTTATTGTCGACCACTCAACCCACAGTCACAGAGAGTGTTTGTCGGAGCATATGGCGGAGCAAGTTTTTACTGAACGCGCAGAATAAACGAAATTATTGCATTGGTTGAAAATTTGTTGTGATTGACAGCTGTCGATACGTTAATTCATCGAAGAACGCTCGTAAAATATATCAACAAGAGGCCCAGTGGCCACAGCGCTCACCTGAGCACATCGGGCTTGAATTTACCCCCCCCCCCCCCAGGGCATTCATCATTTGAAAAAATTAGAATCTACACTACCCGAGGATGATTCCATATAAATATCACTAATCATAGCTTTGAAGTACTTGAAAAGAAGATTTTAAAAGGTTTCCCTATATATCCCTATGTAAAACTTGGGTCGGCCATTTTGGCCCCACCCTAGCCCCGGGGGTCATGATTTGAACAAACTTGAATCTACACTACCTGAGGATGATTCCACATGAGTTTCATCTTTCCTGGCCCAGTGGTTCTGGAGAAGAAGATTTTTAAAGATTTATCATATATATTCCTATGTAAAACTTGGGTCTGCAATTTTGGCCCCACCCTTGCCCCGGGGGTCATGAATTGAATAAACTTGAATCTACACTACCTGAGAATGATTCCACATGAGTTTCATCTTTCCTGGCCCAGTGGTTCTGGAGAAGAAGATTTTTAAAGATTTTTCCTATGTGTTCCTATGTAAAACTAGGGTCGGCCATTTTGGCTCCACCCTTGC